AATGGGACTTTTTACTTCTGGAGCCAGCAGCGCTCGAAATAACTCCTACCACTTCCCATCTCCATAGACAGCAGTGTTTCCTGTAGTTATCTCTAAGTAATTTATTCAGCCCACCTACACTGTGAGGAACACCAGAGTGTGATGTGATTAAATCAGCCAGAGACTGAGCACGGAGACTTTAAAGAAGGAGCTGACAGACAGTGAATTCTATAACACCTTTCAGTACTGGCTATTGTGTAAAGGGAAATCACTTTCAACAGTAATATCACTAACAGGGACACTAAAGTGAGCAATAATGTATTGAATACACAGAGGTCTTGCTCTGTTCAGACTGGGCTCACTGTATATGTGGGAATATAATAAACAAAACATCCATGTCAGGAATCAATTTCACTTTTCCATTGCCCTGAAGACATTACAATATAAAGTTATGATCTAACAGTCTAATTTAGAAACTAAATATAAGATATTGCATCACTATGATGCATTAATATTACACCAGTGGTTGTTTAAAACTACTATTATTTTATTTGTTCAATACAAAAATCACATATCTCCCTCTACACACTCAAGGAAAAACAGATCTTAGTCTTAAAATGGTCATTAATATTAAAGTGCCTCAGTGTGTTCCCTTACCAAAGTGACTAAAGTGACAGGATCTTATATACGCACACACACACACACACATATATATATATATATGAACTATCTTAATTTCTATGAACTTATCACACATTGTTAAATAAATAAAACCAGTGGACTTACGACGACGATTGAGCAGGTCTCAGTCAGTAGGAATCCTGTGGGTATCTTATTTCCTCTGTGAGGGGCTGCTAATGAGAGGCTCCACTTCCTCCTGCAGGGCAAACAACAGCATCATCTGCATCATGTGATGGAGAGCTGCTGACCACAAGGAGAGGGATGGAGGACTCAGAGAGAGAGAGAGAGAGAGAGAGAGAGAGAGAGGTCCAGGAAAGAGAAAGTGACAGTGGTGGAAGAAGTATTCAGATCCTTTACTTAAAGGTATTAATACCACACTGTACAAATAGTCCACAAGTAAAGGTCCTGAATTCAAACAAAGTAGTAGTGGTTCACAGTAGCAGTAGATGTTTAAGTTTATGTTTATTTTAACTGCTTTATTTAATGTTGGGTAGTTTAATCTACAGCAATGCACCATTTTCTATAAGAATATCATGTTTGCAGCTTTGCTGTCCTGTGAGAACCACGTATCTCTTAAAGTTTTCTGAAGTCAGAAAAACGGCTCTGTTTTCAGCCTTGTGATGATGCATTTTCCAGCTGATCCAAGGAGGGTTTAAATTGTTTATTTAGCTTAAGAAGTAGGAGAATTTTCTCCCCCTATAAAGGAACACTTCATCCTCCAGTTGATTAAATTTGGAAATACATGAAGTATAAAGTTGTATAAAATGGAAATATTCAAGTAAAGTACAAGTACTTCAAATTTGTACTTAAGTAAAGTACTGTAGTAAATGTACTTAGTGACATTCCACTACTGGAAAAGAATTAGTAGGGAGAGAAGCCAACATTACATCAGAAAGGGGTTCTCTGTGTCCTGACCATTATCAGCCACCACAGGTTTATCATGTGGACATTACATTTGTGTTATCTGCTGATGTCGTGTGTGAACCACCACACAACAGTTTATACATGATTACCACATCAGAGTCTTGCACATTTTATCCCAGAATCATATGAACATCATAACAAGAAAAGAAAACTGCTTCAGCTGCTCTCATCAACATGCAAATCTGTCCTGCTACAATCACACGCACCTCTCCCATCATCTGAACAGCCACTAAAATGGGTACGGCAGTGATTACGACTTTAAAAGCCACTGTTTACATGGCTGAGAGGAAGCAGAAGTGAACAATCGAGGGATATAAGTCATCAAAATGGTCAACATGCCAAGTGGAGGAGAAAAGAGAAGTGCAATCAATCAAGGATGGATGATGATGGATGTGCCAGATCCCATGCTTTCTGTTTCTGTTTCTTTATGGTAAGCATCAGGCTTCATTGGTGTCTGTCTGTATGTGACCTATAGATCCAGCTGACCTGTCCCAATCAGCCACAACCAAAAAAGTTACGAAGGACTGGAGTCTCTTTCTCCAATTATGTTTAAATTATTCCTCTGCGTAGTAACTCTGTATCTGAAAGCAGTGTTGGGGCGATGCAGTTCCACACAGGCTCAATCCATCAACTACTTTTAAACAAATACTGTGCATTCATTCTACACCTATATACATTCTGTTGCATATACTGGGTGATAAACAGTAATCTAGACAAGCTAGGAGGTCACTCACTCTCATGAACCTCCACCTTTCATCTGCTGGGTTGCACATCGTTTGCCTACAGCAAACTGATCCTGCAGGCTCTTTGTTTCAGTTGGGGCTCATTCAACATTATTGTTAAGGTTTGTTTTTATTTATTTATTTGTTTTTTATACTTTGCAGTCCAAATAAATCAAGATGTGTTAGAAAGTTCTACAGTATTGGCACATTTTATTTTGTGGCCTCCACTTTGGTCCAGACTGAAAGAACTCAACAACTTTTAGATGGATTTGTACAGACATTCATGTTCCCATCAGGGTAAATTGTAATTTTTCATTGACCATTGTAATCTTTAGTGATCCTCTGATTTTTCATTTAGTGCCATCAAAAGATAAAAATTATAATTTGTCCAATTCTTAGGTTTACAACCACAAGCCTAAGTCTAATCAGATGTGCTGTGTATTTAGTGCTAATTAGAAAATGTTAGCATGCTAACCTGCTAAACTTACATAATAAACATGGTAAACATTAGCAGCTGTTAGTATTGTCACCGTGCGCTTGTTAGCATGTTTACATTAGCATGTAGCTCAAGGCACCACTGCACCAACGAAACAGAGCCGCTAGCATGCTGTGTTTGTTATCTGCTTATCATGTCCTGTAAAAAGTCCTGGAGAAAGACTTCCATGTTAAGGCCTGTATGATACACTTATTATAGATTCATAACTTGTTGATTCTGCAATAACATTGAAATAGGTGGGGTGAGAATGTATGTAAGCATGTAGATACATATGTCATCAGAACATATGAAATACATAAATAAAAGTCTGTAGCACTGTTTCTTTATATGGAAGATAAGTGGTCAGTACTACATTTTTTTAAAAATGATTTAAGAACTTAAAACTCAACCAATGGAAACAGAGCTGTGACAATATGCCTGTAAAGAAAAATGACACTGTAAAATTAAATAATGACCTGAGTTTTAATAATTGCTTCCATTATCTGACAGAGTGTTAGTTCATTTATATATTTTCCACAATTTATTCAAATTTATTTATTTCATAATGTATTTTGTTCTTGTATTCTGCTCATTTCAATATGCATATTCACAATGCATGCATACACATAGGATAGATCGGCTGGGACTGGACAGAGTCGACAGTTTTTATTATCAACAAACACTACTGCTACAGAAAACATAAGAGGAATAACAAAGTGGCCTTGCTGGCCATTTTAGCACTTAAATGTTTTTGAAAGAGTGTGGCATGGCTCTCTATAAACTAACGCAGACAGCACACTCGTTTCAACAGTGAGGCGCAGGGGCGTCACTTTGTGCTGAAAAGTGGTGGGGACATTTAAGGACTCAGATAAGGGGTGCAGTGTTACACCCGGAATATGAACAAAACTGGAAGATAGTAGAATAAATATTCACTACTGTGATATATGATTTGGGGGGTCTGTGTGTCCTCCCCTAGAACATTTTGAGCATTAAACACTTAATTTCCTTAATTCTCGAGACATTTCTGGACCAATTTCTGGTCTTTTATATATATAAAGGGAAACACAACATTAATTTCTTGGACAATGCACATTCATTTCTTAGATATTTACATTACATTGCATGTTTCTTCAAATAAACCTTTCTCAAAGTATTCTCATTTGTTATGTAACGTTTCTTGTTGCAAGCAATTTATCAGAACCATTTTAACAAATACTTTCAGAAAGTGATGGGGAGAAAATCAGCCATTTTATGTGTAAGTGGCTGGAAAAAGTGGTGTCCCTAGCGTAAATGACAGCTATGGAGAGGTGGCTCTGTAGCTGCCACCCAATCGCAGAGAACCACAGGAATACAAAGTGGTGCCTATAATCCCACGAGCTACATGAATGTCACCGCAGATGAAATGTGTTGAATCAGCACATCAAAGGTTTTTAAAATTTTCCCCTGGAATGATATATTGAAGTTTTCTTGTGGAATAAATGGAGCTGTGTCCCAGTGGTATTTGTCATCCTAATCAAACACATTAACTGCCTACAGATGAGACTGAAGCACACTTAAATTCCACTTGGCAGCAGATTAGTTGATCTTTAAGATGTTGGGGTTTTCTTCAATGATGTCTTTGAAATCACTGATGATGCTGAAGATGGCAGCTACACATCTTCGCTCTGATCACAACCAATACGAAGAGATTTAAATGAATCAAACAGGGATTGCTGATCTGAGGCAGTTGAATCATCTGAGTGTTTAAACAGGCAGCGAGGCTAAATGGCTCTTCAGAGTTTCACTTTGACGTCCTCTGTTCCTGGTTGCTGCACGGCTTTACATATTTCCCTTTACATCTCGGGTCTGCAGAATGTTAACAGCCATCAGAAATGTCAGTACTGACAGATGTGTATCCTCCCACATTACGGTTTGAAGAAGCAAATATAAAAGATGCAAATGTATGTAAATTGTCCTGGTTGTTGAGGGGGGAGTCTTTGCTGTGTGTCAGCTTCATTTAACAAAGAAATAAAAGAGCTCAGTGGTTTAAATGGTTTGAAAAGAATCCTACTTCAACAAATGTGAATTTTCTTTCATTTTGTTGTGGAGACACATGTCAGCTTTGTGCAGAGGCCTGCAGACATGTAAATTGGTTCACAAGCTCCATCTGCACAATTAGAGTGTCTCCTGATGAATCAACTGTAAAGCGGGAAGAAAATCCAGCTACAATGAAAAAAACATGATCTTTTCAAAAGGAAATTGGTTTTTATTTCCATCAAACAGGATTTTGTTGATAACCAAACAACCAGATATGGGTAAAAGCTGGATTTTTCTATGGCATGTCACTCAAACTCACTACATCACTGTTATTGACCAACACTACAGTTACACTGAACAAAATTCAACTTTAAACCAGTGCATTGTCAGAGAGGAACTACGCCACTGTCCAACAAATAATCCACACGTTCTCAGGGCCTGAGCACAAAATGTGCAAGGACCCTAATTAAAAGGAATTGTTCTTTTCCTCCCAAATGATTGGCACTTTTGAGTGGCTAGAGGTGTTCGAAAACTCACAAATCTTTGCACACAAGTGGCGAAAATTTACATCTTATACTTATACAATGATGACGCTATGTTGTGACGCTTGTCTAAACACTGTTGCTGTGGCGATGTAACGGGAACTTGTTGTAACTTGAACTTAGCATAGGTCCACACCTATGACCCCAACTGACCTCTGGCATCTGTGCTGCGGAAGCAGCACGCCCTTGTAAAATGTGTGGGCTAAGCCAAGGAAAAAGGGAAAACACAAACAAAGAGATGAATAATGCACTTTGAAGTTTTAGCAACTTTTGTCATTAAAATGCCATCTGTGCGTTGGGGTTCTCGGAGAGAGACGGCAGTGTGTGTTTAACAAACAGCTGCTGTGGATCCTCATTCTGCTTCTCATCCTCCCTCTATCAGCAGCAGTCTTTACACATGAGCTGCATTAACACACGGGGAGGGATTTGCTTCATTTTCAGTGTTAATATCAGGCTGTGTTCATTACATCCACACTTTCTCTTGGATTATCTTTCTGTCTCATCCTGATCATCTCTCTGCTTTCCATCAAGTCACAATCCACCTGTCAGACCAAAGCAGATTAGCATTTCAAAAAAACATTAACTATCTCTGCGTGCGGTGAACGAAGTGACAGACAGCCACGGTGTTATGGAGCCTATGCTGCTGTCAGTGTTAAAAGCTTTGCTGTTCAGAGACATTAAGAGAACTGGCAGAGGAAGCGCCCAGCAGGCAGCATGCAGCAGGGAGGAGAAAACTTTTATTATAGAGTGAACAACATGTGCTAGTCTTTTATGAATAGCTTGTAAACTATACGAAACTACCAACACTCAATGCTCATGGATGTATTTTTGTTCCCTTCTTTTGGAGTTAAAATGGAAATAACCTACCAGAGAAAAGAAAGAACGAAGTATAAGAGGAAGAACAAGAAAGAAAGAAGTAAAAGTGAAAATTAAGTGAAAATGAATCCCTACAGTATAAAAAGTCTCCAGGTCTCTCGACCAGGAGCTGCCAGACTGCAGTGTACGATTTCTCACACAGTACAAATTATGTACTGATGGTGGTGTGCGTGATTGGAGTGTGTAAAACTATGTTGACTCTGAAGATGCCACTTGTTAACACCAAGATTCTGTGGTAGCACGATTGCTGGAAGAAAATCACTCATCAAAATGTTTAATTAATGTGCTGACTGGAGTTAGAAAATCATCAAACAATGACTTGGTATTTGGTGGACGTATGCACTGCAAGGGCTCTGACGATGCTGGCAAATTCTCCAAGTGTACAAGCTGACATAGGTTTCCCTTAAACGGGGCTTTCAGGGTGTACTCCCCCAAAACACGGCTCACAACAAAAGGCATTACACACGAATAAACCACGAAACAAACTCTTACAGAAGTACTGGGGCCTAGAGGGCCTAATTACAGGTCATACGTTTCCATTTCCAGTTAGGCAAACATCCATTCATTATCCTCATAGAAAAGTGCATCAGCCAAATGACTTCAGCCCTGATGTGTTTGAGTACTCTAAATCAACAAAAATCTGTTTCCCTTAAGACTATTTGCAACATTTCAATATGACATTATGACATTAGTTAGATATTGCTGTAGACGCCACTTCCACATTTACATTTTTGAATATTTACAGTTTTTGAAACAAGGAAATCAACACCTTATAGGTCCAGCACTGTTGCATGTTTGTATCAGTATGTACATTATATACAGTAAAAGACAAAACTGTTTACATAGTTCCTTTTCGTTGTCTATATTCTGTAGAGCCACAGCCTCAGGCAAAGTGTCTGTGTGGCTTTGAGTCCATTGTAAAGTCCTGAGGCATGGCAGGACACCTCCATCCGCAACCTCTGCTCCAAAAACCACCAGTTCATCAGGCCTCCAGTTAAATGAAATACTCCTTTGGGTTTTCACCGGAGACATTCTGGGATTCAGTCTGGTTGTTGAAAGGGAAGTCTTGGCTGTCCTCCCGTTTGACACCCTTCACCTCCTGGTTTCGATATGTCTCTTTTCTCCGGTAGAGGAATCTGGCAGTTATCGCCAGGCCAGCCACAATCACAAAGATCACCACTGCTATGACACCTGCAAGGTAGAGGATATTTACTTTGATATATTCAGACATGTAGGGAAATATATTTGTTTGATGAGAAGATTGGTATCAATTTTATATCGGTGAGTTTAGTCCAGGCAGCTCGGTGACGTGTTTAGCCTAGCTTAGCGAAAATACTGCAGTGGGAAAAGGTCTAGCCTAGATCCATAAAAAGTGCTTTCCCACAATATTGTCAGATTTTATCATATGCATTTAACACGTAAAGACAGAAAACAATGCATTGTGAGCTAACAAGCAGTTAGCTTAGACTGTGAAGCCATTTCTTGATCAGCAGCAACTGGATGCCCACTTTCCAATTCTCTAATGAAAACCCAGGGTGACTCTTGGATGTATTAGTGGCTAGCTTGCTGTACTACATCTACACAAAGTTAATTTTAGAGATGTGGGATGTCTCTGGAGTACATGATTTTGTGGGAGTGATTATTTGCTTCTTTTTAGTTAATTACCTGCCGCAACACCCATTGGACTAGGGGTGAGTAAGTAACCAGTACTTACCAGTAATTAGGCAGTTAAACTCTCTGTGAGGATTCACTTGTACCTCAAGTGTGTGTCTGGTGGTAAACACTTTGTAGTGAGTTGTAGTTGTTACCCCTTGTCTGGGTTTTTTGCTGTGTCTACGGTGGCTTTTGTAAATGGCTATAAAAAGGATCAGCTGGTGTAAATAGCTAGCTACCAGCGTATGGAGGAGATCAGGAATGTGTTTTTTGTTTGAACAAGGTGTGTGTAGGAAAGTGTGCTTTGTGCTGGTGTCTGCGCCAGCGGTTGTGCCGACAGTTGGTTTGACTTTTGAGCAGCAGAAGGAGTTAGCTATGCAGTCAGAGCAGGAGAAGTTACAGTTAAAAGTGGACATGGAGAAGCAGTAGTTTGAGAAACTTCGGCAGAGCACTGACAGACCGAAATTGGAGTTAGAGCAGTCCAAATTGCAGTTAATTTGAGAGGGCAAGCTTTCTCCACATGGGATCTGGTGTGGAGGATTCTGCTTTTGCTGGTTCTGCAACGGGTGGTATTGATGTCATTGCTAGTTTGCGTTTGGTGCCAAAGTTTAATAAGCGAGACTCTGAAACTTTTTTTCACTCTCTTTGAACATGTTGCTGATGCAAAAAATATATGTGCTTATATGTGCTGAGGAAGATTTAGATTATGATATAGTGAAAAAGGCTGAGTTGAAATCATACCAGTTGGTCCCTAAAGGGTAAGCCTGCATTTACAGGGTGACCTGAGGTTGCCAGAGTGTGTATTTACTGCCGTGGGGAGGGTCAGTGGAAGGATCAGTGTCCACTGTTAAAGTTAAAAGTTCAGCGTCATGTGGTATCCCATGCTCCAGCTATGCTATGCCCTATGAAAGAAAGGAAGCCAGTGTGTGAGGACCCAAGAGCTGGTTCTGGTTTTGAGTCGCTTATAGCTGACGCTTGTGTGTCCTTGGCTGGTAGTGAGACGCATGTTCCAATTAAGCTGTTGCACGGTCTGGTGCTGCCCTTTTAACCCGAAACAGAAACGGGGGGTTTTGCGCTGATGCAGGGTATGGAGCATTAAACCATAATATTGTACTCAAATATGAGCTTGTTTGGGGCATTGTTCCTGTCAGGATGTGTCCTGCCTTACCACTTGACGATGTGGTGATGATTTTGGAAAATGGCCTGGCTGGTAATCAATTGTGGTTCGATGTGCCGGCATCTCCTGTGGTTGTTGCTAGACTGCTAGCATTTGGGGAGCCAGATTATGGTGGTCTGGGATTTCCAGAGGTTTTCCTGCTGTGACCGACCAGCCGTGCAGTGCATAGTAAAAGGTAAAGGTACTTTATTGTCACATTTAACCCATCCCTCAAGGGAGCAGTGAGCAGACACTATAGCGCCCAGGGACCAACTCCATATCCTTGTGCCTTGGTCAATGCTACTGACCTACTAACCCAACCTAACATTTTTTTGATGGTGGGAGAAACCAGAGCAGTCGGAGGAAACCCACGCAGACACGGGAAGAACATGCAAACTCAACACAGAAAGGCCCGGGATGCCTGAGAAGGAACCCAGGACCTTCTTGCTGTGAGGCCACCGTGCTCTTCACCGGGCCACCGTGCTGCCCCTAAAAAATATGGTGCATTCTGAACAGATTCACTGACTGATTCAATTCTGTCTGCTTGGTGGAATGAGGAATAATCATGGTTACTTTGTTCAGGGAGAGTTGCTGGTGCAAAAGCAGGGTATTGTAAGCAGTGCATGCTTGTTGTGGTCATTTGGGGGGATAGCGAAAACGTGCCGTGGCCAAAGCACGATGTCCCCAAGTATGTGAAGTCGTGCCAAACATGCCAGCTCACTGGTAAACCAAGTGAGGTTATTAGGCCAGCACCTCTTTGTGTCCCATTCCAGCCATTAGCCATTAGCCATTAGCCGTTTCCCTTTGCTTTTCATCTCAGTGAAGTCAGTAGTTAAGGCGTTAACTCAGTTCATCTCCATTTTTGGCAATCCACGTGTGTTCAAAAGTGACCAAGGTTCTAACGTCACTTCTCATATGTTTAAACATAACAAGCAGCTGGAAATGAAGCATAACCAAGCTTTGGCATATCATACCAGCTAGGGCGCACTGGAATGATTCCATCAGACTTTGAAGTCAATGTTGCGTGCGTATTGTATGGAAATTGGGAGGGATAGGGAGGAGGGACTGCCTTGGCTCATGTTGGCAGCTGGGGAAGTTGTGCAGGAAAATACTGGGTTTAGTCCCAACGACTTAATCACTTGCTCTGCTTCAGCCCACAGGCACACCATGTCTCGATTGTATTCACCTTACAACACTCGCACTCTTCAGTTTCTCTCATGTACCTTCCACACCACCGACTGATACCCCATGTTTTTTTCTTGAATTTGGTATTTTAATTTGATTAATGAAATATATTTTTTGGCAACTGTTTCTCTTGGTGTGTCTCCTTTTTTGTTGTGGCCCCTTTAGCCAGGCCATAACAGAGCTGTTATGCGTAAGATAAATTAAACATGAAAATTACAGCAGCTAATATACTATACTAATGGGGACCTATAAACCTGTCTGAAACCAACTGAGCAGACCTCATACTGTAACTCATCTGTGTGATTTTGATGTGTGTTCCCCTCTAAATCCTGAAATGCCTAGTTGCTTGCTGATATTCTGTAAAGTAAATCCATCACAGTGGACTTTGTGAACGTTCTGTGAAGTCTCAACATGATTTCTGCTCATATCTTCCTCCCATGGGTATGTGAGTCCTTTTTCCCCGCAGTCTAGTTGTTCTGCTAATCTAACTTCAACACACAAGGAGCATATTTTCACACATTTGGACCCAGATGGACTTTCCTCTTCAGCACTTTTCATTATCCAGAGAAAGTCTCATCTAATTGGAATTCCAAAATATGGCTGAAATCAATTTCGCACTGTTTAGTTTGCATTTGAAGAGAGTGTGAAAGTTTCTCCATCAGCACGTAATTTCAGCAGCGGTTTAATTACTTCAGCAGTCCTTTGTGCACATAGACACAGAGTCAGAGATTTAATAGACACTTTTAAATGACTTTTGACTCTCTCACTTTTTTACTACTCACATATAGGAACTATTCAGATTTTGAATCAATCAGGCAGAAGAGCAAAAACATTTCACTTTTGATGGCATTCTTTGCCCATTGCATCACCTTGGCTGGCTTTCAGCAGAATATTACTCATCAATAAAATACTGAGTGTAATCTCTGACAGTTAGGAGAAGTCCAATACACATGAAAAAAACAAAAAACAAGGTGAAACAGGTGACGTACCTCCAATCAGAGCCGAGTCGGTCCTGATGGCATTGACTAATGGTTGACCTGAACCCACTGAACCGGACTGGTCTACAGCAAAGAAAGAGAAAGGCAGAAGAAATGAAAGGTAAAAAGATAGAAGAGAAGAGGTGAGGTGAAAATGAGAAAGCCAAAAGGGGGCAAAGAATTGGAAGAGGAAATGGCGAGAAGAATAACAGAAAGCAGAAATGATGTAAAGAAGAAGTGGAGAACAGAAAAGAGAGACAAGGAGAGAAATTCAGAGACAACATCACAGTATCATCTATCAGAGCAGAAATGAATACAGCAGCAGCTCTCCAAAAGAAGTCTATTCAAACTGGAATGCAGGACTTTTAAATGAAAGTCTGTTACATTCAAGCCCTTGCCACTGGAACTATCATTGGCAAATCTCTCTGTATTTCTCAGTATAGAGTTTTTAAATCTTGTGTCTGTTGCGATATTCCCCTGCTGGCACACCGGTAATGATGCGTTTTATGGAGAGAAGGTTTATTATGATTGTATAGTTTGTGTTAATATGCTTTGTATTGTTTACAGTCAAAGGTTATAATCCTTAACGAAGACGAACGAAATAACGAAAACTAGGCGTGAAAAAACATCGTCGTTAACTGAAATAAAAAAAAACCCGAGGATTTACAAAAGAATTATACACTAAAACTGTATTGTTGGTTCGCAAAACTAACTAAAACTACCTAAACTAACTAAAATGAAAGAGTAAATGTTCTTAGTTTTCATTTATTTATTTTATAGGACCTAATAAGCCTACGTTTCCAGTGGACATGAAGCTGGGGGAACTAACATTGAGGGGCAGTTGGTCTGACCGGATTGAACCTATGGGCTGGACCGGCAGTTCAGCGGGGCACGCGGTGATTAGCTGATAGGCACCTGTTGGTGAGGTGATGTGTTCTATTATCTTTTATCCATACATGTGTACAAAATTATATGAATGCAACAACTGCATAGAGTTGTGTTTTGTTTAGTTGGGGTTGGTGAGTCACTGTCTTGGTGATTTTCTTTTCCTGTTCTGTTCCATTCTGATGGTCTGGCTTAGCATTCTGCGTGTGGGATAAACTTGCCCCTTGCCCACTGACTGTGAGCTCCCCTTGCGCTGGGTTAACATGTCTGCTGGTCATTATATTTACTGCATGTCAGCTAGTGTGTGTTTAATGGGCTCATTGATATCTCAGCCAACCTGTCTCATTGTGCTTCACATTGTTTTAATACCTATTTTGTGATTAATAAAGGTTGAGATTTTAATAAAATGCTTTCCAGTCATACTTGCCTTCAGGGTGCTAGAGACCTGTTTGTGGCTCCAAGGGGTACCTTCACTATCTTCCAATTTCTTTGCTCCCTATCAATTGTATTTCACCTCCATTTATTGTATTTCACCTGTTTAACCAAGAATGATAGAGCTACAGACTGATGTAATGAATTTCTTGGGACCACTGGATAGTAGGATTAGGGTAGTTAGCTCTTAGGGTTTTCTGTATGTAGGTTAGAAATTATTCTGTAGATTGCATGTGCTTCATTTATAGTATTTATTTAGACAATGTGTCAGTACTTATATATATATATTTTTTTTGCTTAGTGTTTGGGGCTGTATGTGCATGCAAGTTTTGTCCTCTGGTGGAAGACTGGAAGAATCCCAGAAGAGAAAATTGAACTGAGACAGTGAGAAACGATCACCTTCAATCAGACAGTGTTGGAGCCCTAGGCGAGATTTTAAATGGCGCCCCCCCATGCCCAACCCTAAAAAGTCCACCTCAGGGGTTGGAGTCATCAGTCCCCTAACGTTCAGCAGCTAAACTCACAATTTTAGCATGTACAGATGACAAGCCAAGTTAGTAATCTTGGTCAAAAAGTGTGATCCACATCATAGCCTAAATTGGGACCAAACCTGTATGTGTCCCCACATAAAACTGTGTGTCAACCCAGAGACTGTTATCTTGCATTATGGGGTAGATTTCTTGAAATGCAACAGCATTGGTTTTGTTTCAATGGTGGAGGTAACTCAAAAGAAGATTTTCCCCCAGAAGATTTTAAGCATTGAAGACTTCATTTCCTGCATTCTGGTTTCTGCCTTTTATGCCTCAATTTATGGTGGAAAAGTCTTCATTTATGTAAATGGAAACACAAAATTCAGGCAGCAGGGGACAATTCAAAATATAAAAAATGAATAGAACATAAAGCAGTAAGGCTTTCAGGCGTTCTGTAGCTATTGCTTTTAAATAGCCCATGTTTCTCCTGATCAACTTTTATAATTTAATAAAATCCCTGCTGAATCAATCTGCTACCTACCTGTCCTATACTCTGCTGTGCATTGCTTATTGCTCCGCTGATATTATCCCCTTTAGACCGTTTGACCAACACAGTTTGGGACTGCATGTTGCATGTGAAACCGAAACCAACTGGAAAACACACCACAAATCCAGACATGTTAACTTCAGCAGCTCACATTCCCTAACAGAGCCAGGCTAAGCCTTTAGATGTTTTTATTGCAAAACGCTACACAACGACACGACTCGTCACAACTGTCTGGACTCACAGTGCGAGGTGCACTTAATTGCTATCACGGCGTACGCCAGTGTCACAGCAGCTGGGCTGAGTTGATTTGCGCCTACTCAAAAACCTTCTCTCGCGGCGCCCCCTGACATTTGCGCCCTAGGTCTAGTTGAATTTGAAAATGATATAACTTTAATCTCAAATGACACATTTGAAATTACAAACTGACCTACAAAGCTGACTCCTCCCCTCTTACCTGACAGGTGGTGTGTGTTCTCTGCTGCGTAGGGATTGGACGAAGCTGAGGAGCCACAGTTGGACTGGACTAAAGGTCCGGTGATGATGACAGGGCTGGTGTCTGGGTGGAGCAGAGCAGCTTTCAAAGGGCTGATGGAGTTAAAGTGGACCACTGAGAGGCAACCGGTAAAACCGAGAGCTGCCACCCTGGCCAGATCTGCGTCTAAATCATCAGACTCTGGAGAGAGAAGATTGAGAGGGAGGCTTTCTCCAATTCAACAGAATAAAAGAATACTTGTTTCAAAGCTTCAATCAAATGTAAATGATTCCTGACAAGGTTACTTATCTTTAATAAAAAATATAATCATCCTAAAATTTCATATTATGACTTTGTCTTTTTTGCCATTTGTTCCAAGAGAGACAAAACTGCTGTTGAAGATAGGAAGTATTTTCTTGAAAGAAATGTAATATGTACAAAAACAAGTGGAGATATTTGATCCAATGGGCAGATTTTGCTTTAAGATTTTACAAAATGCAACACTTTTGTTAAGGATGGGTCTTTTTTGCAATCTGGTTTTCAAAGCACAGGTTGAAGAATCCAGTAATAAAATTTTAATTATCTCTACCTGATCAAACTTTTAACCTTTTGTTTAAAGGCTGAACTTTCATAACGAGTAGAATGGCTTACCCAATAATCCGTGACACTCACCGACAGGTTCATTGACTCTGCTTCACATTTCCCTGTTATCCGAGTTGGGCAACAGTTGCAGCACATTGAGTCTGATGATTAGCACACACACAAAACCGCACGCACCGCCTCATTACGGTACAGAGACTTTCAATGACTCAGCTTCCAGCCTGCATCTATCACTACTTAAGACACATGTGCGCTCGTCTCTCTCTGTTGACTTTACTGACTTATGCTGCATTCATGTGCTCCTTGGATGGCCTCATTTCCAGAGCTGGGAAGTCGTCCTTATTCAGTGTGTTCATGAGCTTTATGCAGTAATGTGAATACGACATGTATGTTTTTGTATAGTGTCTGGGTGGTGGGTTGTTCTATATGTGATGTTGCTCTGTGCAGTTTGAAGCTTTAGTTTGCTGCGTCAGTAGGCTACATTACCTAAACCATTAACATATATCTTTACCTGATCATGTGAATTCATGTAAATGAATAACTATCTAGGTCACTCTATGTGGATAGCAACCAACGTTTATAATCTAATAATATATTACAAATTACATGCGAGCAATGTATGTGTTAAATGTATTTGCAATATGTGATTTAATAAAAAAGCATTCACTTTCGTCCGACATGTTTCTGCGCAATGTGACATTGACTTGGTAGGTCGTGTACTAAGATTTTTGCAGACTTTGACGAGAGTTGTTGTTACGAGGGGGCATTTAAGAGAATTTTCCCAGTGGGGAACTCATTTTCCAATTATTCCAATACCACATGAATGCAGGGTGTAATCCCTTCATCATTCCCCTCCACTCCTTCACAGCAGTGTAAACAGCAGCTGTGAACGCCACATTACCGCTGTAAACCGCTGCATCAGTGTCTGTTCAGATGACTGAGAGGTGACTGTGGTTTTACCAGCACACATCTGCATGTTGATGAGAGCAGCAGGAAACATTACTGCAGCCTGTAAGCTCCTCTCAGCTGATTCACTCCATCACCTCTCTCCCTCTCTCTGTCGCTCTGTATTCCTTCCGGGTCCATTAGTAAGGCTGATGGATGACAGGGTCGGCAGTAAACGACAGAAACTCCACTTCGCTGCTGCTTTTCTGATCCTGATCTCACTCTCTGGTTTGACAGGGGTGAGGAGGTCACATGCTGACATGACGGGGTTAAAACACACCGAGCTGAGTTGCAACGTGGTACTGGAGCTTTACTGCCAAAAAGACAAATGATCTTGGAGACTTTGTATTGGGTGGTCCATAAGATATGTGGTGGGCATGTTTGCTCTGATTATGCATTATTGTACATATAAACAGGTGACATTGTGAAATGAAGCTGCCAATGATGATTATGTTCGAAACAGAGAAGATTTGTTTTTCATTTCCACACCCCAAAATGCGAGTATAATTACATTATTCAACACTGGCAGTGGCACTGGAAGTGAAAACATTTAAAATAAAGATTACCGACATAACACGTATTTATGCATGCATGTGTGCAACTCAATCGAAATCTTCTAAAACATAAAAAATAAAGCTTTTGTTATCTTTTATATTTTTTCTTTATTTAGAGCACCACATGACACTGACACACATTGATTTCTTTTACCGCACTTGGTTAAAACATTCCAGCAAAGCTCCGCTTGAGCAGAAAACTTCTTATGATTTGTATGTGTGAATATTAAACATTTTCTTCAGGTTGTTATCTGGTATTACCTGACCATGCTTTTTATGGAAGCTATTTAGACGCACACCCATGTTTTACTTCTAATAGCCACTGTGTTTCCTTTTAAATTGACTGTGTGTTTTCTGTGTATCTGTCTTATCAGCACGCTGGGACTGCCGCCTGCGGCCTCTCTCTGATAGAGCCATGACAGAGAAGATGAATAAGTCATGATAGAGCCATCTAGGGCTGAACGATTTGGGGAAAAAATCTAATTGCGATTTTTCTGCCAGATATTGCGATTACGATACGGTTTAGCTAAAGTATTCACTGCCGGTCTATTTTTGATCTTGCCTCGTCAAGCATCACAGAGCAGATGAACCGGGAAGGAAGTCAGACACAGAATGGCATAGAGAATCCAGTTGATTTTCAGAATAAAACACCCTGTGCAGACTCCCAATCGTATATCAACAATAAACACAGTTAAAACACGTAGCCTACTTAACCATGCACAAAAATCAAGGACAACCAAACAAATCAACAGAAGTCAGCAAAATCAGGCAGGCAAAACATTTTCTGAAATGCCCCATGTGTAGCCTGCGGAGAGCAGCTCAAAACCGCCTCACAGACAGCTGTTATCCGTAGTTGAAGCACAAGAAAGAACTAACAACACGTCAACAACGCAGGATTAAACATTCAGCCCTACATACTACCCATTAAAATAACTTAGCCTCCCCACTCTGCCCCCCATCACCATACTCAACAGCCCTGTGTCTGCTGTGGAATCCTTCAGCTTTCTGGGATCCACTATATCCCAGATCCCTGGACCTGAAGTGGGAGAACAACACTGACACCATCATCAGGAAGGCCCAGGAAAGGATGTACTTCCTGCGCCAGCTCAGGAAGCTCAACCTGCCTAAGGAGCTGCTGATCCACTTCTACACAGCCATCATCCAGTCTGTCCTCTGGTAGGGGCTACAGAGCACTGTACGCCAAAACCAACAGTCTCAGGAACAGTTTCTTCCCACAAGCCATCACTCTGATCAACAGCTGATTTCTGCCTCACAGTGTCAGGAACAATTCCTGTGCAATAACCCAGTAACTCTGTCTCTAATCAGCCACCTGTTTACTGGTTACCACTTATTATTTATTCACCATTCTCTATTTCAGTGCCGTTCATACGGTTTATATTGTCATTTTGTATATACTGTAAACCACATCCACCTACCGCATGTACATAACACCTATAATACTTAATACATAATACTTATTTATTCCAGCATCCTTAGCACTTTGCTCCACCGTACTGTGTACATGAATGCATGTATGTGTATGTGTACTTGTAAATCTCATCCTTATAATACTACTTAATAATAATAACGATAATAACGATTATAATAATTCACTGCTGTATCCTTTGCATTCTGCTCATTGCACTATTGTCTCAATCTGTCTGTATTGTTTTTGTTTATAGTGTGTATATATGTGTTCTCTATACTGTAGTGTGTGTTATTATTGTATTATTGCATAAGTAAGCACATCGTGAGCAATGTACAATCCAGAGTCAAATTCCTCATATGTGTACACATACATGGCAAATAAAGCTGATTCTGATTCTTTTATATTTGAATTTGATTCAGATATTTAATCTTTTTTTTCTGTCATGTGCCGCAATTACCTTTGTGGTCTAGCTTAGATTAGAGATACCCAAAGCAGTTAAACTTCAGTTCTGCTGCAATACTGCTCAGACATAACAGAATGCTAACCTTCATGCTAAAGTAGCTCTTACATTTTGCCTCAGACTTCTCCTTCAGATAATTTGAATAATATTTCCATTAGGTGCAAACAGCTGAAGCTGCATTTATTTCTCTAAGGATTCGTAAACTGTGTGTCAGATGAGGCCAAACATCTTAAAGCTGTTATTCAAGTGCAAGTCTGAGTGCACTCTAAGTAAAAAGGCCTTGAATCTGCTTTTACTGCCTCCTTGCTTACCGTGTACTCTGCCCAACTCCAACGACTTGATGGCGTTGAATTCTCCGTCAGATGTCAGGTTGAAGTCTTCTCTTGAGTTTTGGTCAAGCTGAAAAAGAAGAATTATTTCCTAAATTCATTTAGGGTGTTTTAATGTTAAAGCCTGGTTATCATTTAACAATTTCTGACTTTAAATATAGCCGCGAGCAGCAATGATCAGGATCCAAGCAAGTCGCAAAAAACGCAACATTTGACATTTTCAGAGGAGAAGAACAGATGCAGATGACTTAAGAGATTTAAGTGATCAAAGAATTTGGACTTGGAGAATGCAAACTTGATTTTTATATGTACCTGACCCCTGGGTGAAATGTTCAATCCACCAGCAACATTTTGTGTTTCCAAGATTTAAAGTTTAAGCTGCACAAACACTTTTAAGCAAAGAAAAATAAGAATAAAAGTGTCACAGGATCCATATAAAATAGAGAACGTAGACTGACTATGATCTGAACACCCCCATTTGTCAGCACATTTGACTCAGTCACCTGAGGATTTGAAACCTGGAACTTCAGATCTCCAGAATTGGTGAGTTGAGGTAGTAACATCACATGTGCCAGACCTGGATAGTTTTCTCAACTTAAAACGCCCATAACAGTCAAGATGTTGGTCAGAAATTTCTGAAAAAAATCACACATCATTCTGCTGATTTTGGGTGTGTTGTCAATTATTAGTTAAGTTACAGCAAGATACTGCATATCACTGCAGACCGATTTAAAAAAACCTTTGCAACACTTAATATTGTCCATCTAGAAAAAAAGGAGAATTCATTTATTTTCACTATAATTCCATCCGTAAGTAACATAGTGACCGAATGTACAACTTTACTGGTCATGGAATTCATACACTAAAACATCTAAAAGCCAAAATCCTATCAGATGGGCAATCCTGGGACAAAATCTTATCAATGGGGGTACGTACTCTTATTTGTGTCAGTTTATGGGTCCTTGTTGTGAAAAAGTTTGAGAACCACTGATCTAGAGAATGTCTGTGTTGATTTTGGTAGCGCTTGAAGAAAGACTTGTGGAGATGTAGATGTCAATTTAATTAGCATATTCTAAAAAATATAGAGTGACTGACTTCTGAATTAACCATAGGTTGCATTGAGGCAAACGGAAAAAGCTCCTAGAGAGCTGCTAGGATGTACGGGTGAGAAATGTCTAGAAATTTACATTTCTTGTAATAAGCCACGCTCACTTTGAGCAATCATTACCAAATTTTATGCATCAACTGAGTAGTGACCCAAGATCGTACAAACTGAATTTTGTACGAACCCATGCCGCAAATTACGAGGTATGAACTTTTTTTGTAGTGCTCCCTAGTGGAAGAATATCCAAGGAGTGCTCACTGAAGCTCAGACCAAGCACCTATATAGACGCGTCAAGTTTGGTTACAATGGCTTAAGCCAATTTGGATTTACGGGCATTTATGTAAAATTGTAAGTAAATTCACAAAAGTAAAAATTTATAAAAAAACCCCCCCAACAGATTGACATATCAAAATTCTTTCGATATCTTTTGATCAACAACGTCCGTAGATGACGAAAGATGCCAAAGTTTCAGGTCGATTGGCGAAACCGTCTGGGACAAGTTCCCAAAATAGGTTTTTAGTGAAAAGTGATAAAAAGTCGTATAATTTGACATTTTTAGAGTGGAAGACTATTGGAGCAAAGATGCAGATCAATTCAGAGATTAAAATAATGAAAGAAGATTGATTCTAAACAAAGCTGTTTTAAAGATAATTGCAAAAACATAAAGTTGATTGTTATAGCGCCACCATGAGGTTTATGAGGGCCATTTTTTAAGCCAGAGTAGTGGGTGGAATTTGCAACGTAAGTGCCAATTTTAGTGAGTTTTCGTCCAGCAGTTATTGCTGCCCAAACACTTTTAGCAGAGAAGAAAGAAAGAAAGAAAGAAAGAAAGAAAGAAAATATAATGAGAACAAAAACAATAGGTTTCGCTTCGCTGCTTGGATCCCTAATGATTCCTCACACTAGATATGTTATATGCAGAGATGACATTATGGCTTGAGGATGACAGGAACAAAGCTCATGAGAGTCCACAATGGGAAGGGTTCAACCCGTGAGGAGTTTAAAATGATTTATCTTCTGGAGACGAAAACATACTCAGTTTTATGTATATCTGTTGTAAGTAGTTGTTGAGATATGTTTTTCCAGACTAAACCTTCTCCTTATGCCTTCAAAGTATGATTCTAAAGATATCATGATTCAACATGATGAGATGCACCTCATATTCCAATGGAGCCTCACAACAATGTGAATCGGGAGGCTGCACCCATGCAAGACGAGGTCACCTTGTGTTTCAGCTCAGGGTGTTATTAATTATACAGACATTCCGGCTGCTGGTTTGATTAAGTTAACCTGATACATCATCTGAGACTGCTAAAAAGATAAGACATTCAGTAGATCCAGGTACGATTACAATGTTTCATATTTCATCTGAAGCTCTTCTAATGTGTAGTTTGTGCTGGCCTGCTGTGACTACACTTAGGACAGCAGCTGCTTGTGGCTGAATTGAGAATGAAAGTGATGGTTGGGGCTTTAGTTCATAGAAGAATATCACAATACTGTACCATAGTTCACACAGTGAGTAGATGTGACTACCTGTAGTTAAAATGTCTGATGTCTTCAACGGAGAAATTATAAATGTTGACAAAAATGTAGATTTATAAACACAAAAATGTATGTATTATCCTAAAAAAGACCAACATGCAGAGAATCTCTATAGTCAATCTCAGTACTTCCTTGTAATCAAGATTGTTGATTGAAACAAGCATTATATTAATTAATATCCAACTCTGCAGGTTTACAGATTTTAAGTGTATTTATTTTAGCTCACTGCTTTGCCTTTACAGCACATTTAATATGTGGTTGAGTCCCGTGGTTCTCACCAGCCTCCATGTATAACACTGTAGCTGCTTGTTTCCAATCCAAGTTTACAGTTCCTGTTTGTAACTTTGAAGAAAGTGGAACATGTTCAACAGAAGCTAAAAAGCGAAAGGTTTTGTTGTGTTGGTGGAGACCAAACCAAAGCAAAAAGGTGTCTAAATGTTAGACTTACATTTGCAAGATGGCCCAATAAAAGACTCCAAAGGGATGTTCATGTTGCTTTGTGTAAGTAGGCGATTGTCTGCTATGGTGTAAGCTAAGGTGTTAGCTACAAATTGTGATGAACTGATGAGGTGGTTTTACCTGCACAGACACAGAGTTTGTCAGCCTCCTGATGGTAACAGAGTGTAGCTGTCCGTCGGCCAGGCTCTTCACTCTACTTCTCAACACTTCAACATCTCTGCCGCTGTCCAGCTTGTATCTCACCTCCAGCATATCTTCACACATAACACACAACAAACCGTGGGGTTTCAGATCTCACAACAACAGGAAAAAACCTTCAGAGCTCGACTTTCTGAGAGAGAGATTTTCACTTAAAATATATTCATTTCAAACGAGATACATTCTAGGCGAAGTTGTCTGTTTCCTAAAAATGGCCTTGTCATGTCTTTGAGGGTTACAGTCCAGCAACAGGCGACCAGACCTTAATAACTACATGACGCTTTGAAGTCACATGACATCAAACATGTGGTTAATGTTGTGAAACAGTCGCAGTTTGGTTAAGTTTAGGAAAAGATTGTGGTTTGGGTTAAAATAAGTACATCACGTGACTTCACATGTGACAGAACTCACGTTAATGAAGTGATGGAAGTCAGTAATGCTATTTAACTTGAAAATCAAAATAACATTTACTTGGTTTCACATGGGACTCGAAAGCCGTTCTCCTGCTTGAGAGTCCTGGGTTAGTTTGACCGAAACATCCAACCCATCCACCTCTGTACGCGGACGTTTTCGCTATTTATAATACGTCACCCTTCTTACTCCTTTGCTACCGTTGTACCCATCCTAGAGGTCGCTGCCACAATAAATGTAAATATGGGTCGTAATAACGTGCTGCAGAAGCCCTACTTGGTAATATTTCTGGGGAGGACAGGTTGGCGTTACATTAGTGTAAATAAACATAATAGTTTATTTACAGTACCAAAGCCTCACAACTGCAACTCCCTACCTGTCTTCCCTATGGGGAATGTGAAGGAATAATTAGTTATTGTTGGAGGACCTTCAACTACCTGCTGCTGCTCCAATAATAAATGTATTTTTGAAAAGATGCCTTAAGTATAGAGGTTGTGTTTGGGCTGAGCAGGTGTAACTGCAGTCGAGACTAAAAAGAAATGAGCCATCTCAGGGCATACAAGAGAAAGCTCCCCGGGATTTAATTGGACACTTCATTTTAAGTGCACCTACCTGGCGACTCCACGTTCAGCATGAAACCTTAATGCCCTGCCGTCCATCAGCTTTCTTTGACTCATTAACACCAGAAAAAATCCATCTACAGCTAATCTAGCAGCAAAGTGCTGATTTTATTAGTGTCCTGGATGCTGAAAATGTCATTTTAAATTCAAAGTGCCTCCTACTACTCTTAAAAGCCAAATTCAAAACATGATTATTTCACACAAAAGTTTCTTAAACACATCAGCAAGTTTTCTGCTGTTTTATTCAGCAGCACACTGACCTTCCACCCATTAGCAGCCCACCAGACCTTTACTCCCTCAACATCACTCATCAGTTCTCAGTGATAAAACCAGTGGACTCTTTTTTTAGCCGGACACAAAACATAATAGCCGGCCCAGCTGGACAGATTAAAAGGCAGTAGATGCTGACAGGGGAATCCAGAAAGAGGAAAGGTCTGACAGATCCTGATAGATCTGGTAAAGCTGCAGAGGAGAAGGAGGAAGGAAGAAGGAAATGAGGAGAGGTCGATATCAGGCGAAGATGACAGGGAAAAGGGAGACGATGAGAGGAAGAGGGGAAGAGAGGTAAGATGGGAAGCTGGGAGGAGCCGAGGAAGAGAGAGAAAGTAATTGAAAAGGGTTGAGGGAGGAAGACGACGAGAGGCGAAAAGGGAAAGTCTTGAATAGACGTAATCTCTGAAAAACAGGAGGAGAGAACAAGAAAGGAGAAAAAAGAGAGCAAGGCAAAGGCAGCAAGGCAAAGGGAGGGGTAATTAGAGGGAAGAATGAGAAAATACACAATATTAGGATATAGAGTGTATTTGAAGTAGGGAAAACCCACAAGATGAAGAGATTCCAAAAGTATTCAAATAAAAGAAACCCACAAAGGGAACAAAAAAGAGGGGAGGAGGCCATTTCAAAAAAGGAAGAAGGATTGAGTCAAAATAAGACACTCCACCTCAACTCAACTTCTGCCACATAAACAAACTCCTTCAAAATAAAAGCCTGCTCACCGTGCTTGTTGATGAGCAGGGCCAGGTACTCTCTGTAGTAGGAGCTGACGTAGAACAGCACGGCCGGACTTTGGTTCGTCCTGAAGCTCAGGGAGACGTTCTCTCCTCTCAGCGTCATGTCAGAGTAGATGGAGGACGGCAGAGCGCTGCTGTTCCTGCTCAACTCGTACGGCTCCTTGAAGGTGTAGCTGACAGATGTCCCCGACTTGAAACTGGCTGACACCTCTGGAGGTAGGGGGGGATTACATATATCTGATTTGTTGCTGTTGTATGAGGACTTTTTGCTTTATGTGTGACTGATTGTGATATACAGCTTATGACCTCCTGATTAGGACAGTTACTCTAACAATAAGGTGAAACCCTAAACTATTAATATATTTTAATAGCACTTTCTAAACATTACATTTACATCTTGATGTATTATTCCTAAATTGTTGAACACATTTGTAGGAACATAAATTCCCCGTTAGGTCATTCTGTAGTTTCCCAGTCCCAATAAAATAAATATTTACATTACTTCATCCATCTATCATCATATCCAGTGCAGAGTCATGCTGGAATTATAGTTCTGCAAAGATACACACAATCATCTCAGCAGATCTAGAAGGGTATTATGGGTAACAAAGAGCCTTGTCATTCACAAGCTTCAAGGACTCTATGTTGCCCCCCATCTCCTCCTTTGGTCATCAGATTGTACTGTTCCACCTGATCCTTTGAAATGTTATCCGTTACTCATCGGGCCAAACTTACATGCACAACCACGTCTGCTGCCGGGATAATTGGTCTCCCCACACCCAACCTAGCAGAACAAAATATTAAGGCCACTGCACACATTGCAACCTCAAAAGCACAGGACATCACACAACCACTCAATCACCATCTTACCCTACTGCCCTCTGGATGCAGGTACAGAGCACTGAGATGCAGTAGGGGTTGCTTTGGGAAAAGCCTAATCCCCGCAGTAATAGCCTCGTTAAATAATAGGCTTCGCTGAACTGGCCTGAGAGTGTGCTGTTGTTTGTCTTTTGTTTTTTTACCGTGTGCTATTGTTGTCTGATGTGTACAGTGCTGTGAAAACAAATTTCCCCCTTGGGGACAACAAAGTCTAAAGTCTAGATTGTGGAGGCTCATAGAGGAGGTGACGCGCACACTTCCCAACTAAACAATGTGCTTTGCGGCCGGAGAGTCGAACAAGTGGGTTGGTTAATCTAACTTTCTGTCAGGAGGTCCTTGAAACAGAAAGAAAAAAGTTTGTACGAGCCACATGTACGTCTGTGAACAACATACACGGTGTGGCGAAACAACCTCATTAGCTACAACAAAGTCTGATGCTTCTCTAACACCCCACCTTGTTCTCCTTGTGTGTTGTCACAAAGTTTCCGAGCGACAGAGACACAGAGCGTCCCCGTAACCATAGTAACTTACTCTCACGCCTGCCTGAGAGAGAAGAGATGCTGTGCTGCTGCCAGACGAGGCGCTCACGGAGATTACTCTGTGCAGCATGCATAAATTAGCCTAGTATAATATACTTCTCACTTTCACGCCGATGGTTAGAATAACTCACTTGTAGCTCTGAATAGGGTAGGCAGTGGACCAAACCACTGTGAGGCATATGAGGGGGAGGACATACTCTTTAAAAACTTAAAAACACGTGTAGAAAGCAAGTGCAGTTAAAGTTTGTGTGCCAAATACATTGACTAGATACTGATGATATTTAATTAAGTAGTAGCTCAATATTGGTAGGGACCATCGCTACTACATTCTTCACCATTGCGAATACCAATCAGTATCCCAGCTGCTCTTCATCTTCACAATCAAGCCCGCCCGTGTATACCTGGTCATCCCTGCAACTCATCGCCAGATTATAGTCTAAAACTGCTCAGTCAGTCTCTCTTCTAGCCTTTCTATATTGTGACCTTGTCATGTTGAACACCGCTTAACTCTGATGTTTTGTGTGCAGACTCCCCGCCGGAAACTTGACTCCTGTCTTCGCTCCACTCCTGCTCCACTTGGATTTTGGATTCCCCCACTTGATTCCCCCAACTGGACCTGCTCCCCCTCCCCCGTTTAAGTATCTGTCCAATAAACCTAATTTTTGACTCCACCCTTTCCTTGTGTCAAACTCATTACCAAATCTGCTTTCTACCACCCCAAAAACATCTCCAGACTTCGACCATCACTCTCAGACTCTGTGGCAGAGTCTCTCATCAATGCCTTCATCACCTGCCGCTTGGCCTACTATAATGGTGTCCTGTATGGGGTACCCAGCAAGGTCCTGGACAGGCTACAATATGTACGGAACTCAGCTGCCAGGGTTCTCACACACACTAGGTCGTGGCACCACACCCCAATCCTTCACTCAGCTTCACTGGCTCCCGGTCAAATTCCGCATCACCTACAAAATCCTACTCCTCACCTATAAATCTCTCCATGCCACTGCCCCCCAGTACCTACTGGACCTTCTCCACCCTTACTCCCTGCAGTCCATCGACAAGGGCGTGCTCTCTGTCCCCCACACCAGACTGCGGACTTTTGGGCACAGAGCCTTCAGCGTCACAGCCCCCACCCTCTGGAACTCATCCCCACAGAGATCCACAATGCTCCCTCTCTGGACACCTTCAAAAAAACTCCTAAAAACCCAGCTCTTCACAAAGGCATTCAACCCTGAATGACTTTTTATTGAAAGGCGCTATATATATATATATATATATATATATATATATATATATATTTAGAACTGTTGAGTCTTTGCTGTAATTTTCAAACAGGAAGCAGAGATGAACTTTTAAAACATCAAACACAGCTAGAGTGTGTCACTGTGACTCACAAAGGCATAAAAAACAAACTGTTTCTGGCTCTGCACGGCAGAACAGATAAGTAGGAGGTAAACGTAGATATCAATATTTAGTGGGAGGAGGGTTAAGAGTAAAAAAGTAGAAATGGCTGAACTCACTTAAGTTATTGAACTCATGGAAGGCATAAAGTTGAGTGTGATTATGCATTATTACAGAGTTAACATCAAACAAATGACTAAAATAGACTCCAACACATCAAACAGGCCAGTAAATGCAGTAAATAGTTCTCTGAATTTATACAGATCCTTAACCTTTAGACAACGCAGATAAGAACCCACACATGGAGGTTGTCTTCACTAACATTTTAATTTGTATGTCTATATGAGCTTGAGGGAATTCATCCTATCACAACTATGCTCTAAAAGAAAGAAGTTTTCTTTACAGAGACAGAAGTTCAAGACTCTGCTGAGAAAATGTTCCGCTGAGACTCTTCTCCTAAAGGAAGTATGAGCCGACATGAAAACAGCTTTAACCTTGGCTGTGGAGATATATGTGACTAAAAGTCCCTTTGGCTGTACAAGCTTTGTACTTTTATCTTTCACAGAGAACAGATTTGTGGTCAGCTTGGATTCATGGTTACAATGGATAGTGACCAGATTTCATGGTTGAAACGGCATTAAAATATCCAAAGAATCTTCTCAAAACATGTCTGCACCACAATCCACTGTCTATCCTTAAACTCAATATGTCCACACACATATTTCTGCCAAAATATGGCTAAATACATACCGTAACTTCTCAATTAATCTTCATGCAAGACCATCCTATCAAATTGGCGTAAACTGTACTAATCAATATATTTCCATCCATCCATCCATCGTCAACCACTTATCCTGCGTACAGGGTCGCATTTTTCATATTTCAAAAGTAATACAAATGATTAATATGAAGTGACATATCACAAACCCTGCAGCTCTACAGAGCTTTTTAGCTTCTTTTAAGTTAGTGTTTTGGTGTTACGGCACATTTACTGTTTGGTTCTATCTCACTGTTTCCAAGCAAACAAGCACTGATAAACTGTGTATTGTACATATTGAAGGACATCTAGCAGGAGTTGGTGGAGAGAAAAATAGCTAAAAGAGAGTGTAAATTACACTTACTTCACCAGCCAAAGGAACACTTTAATATGTGTTTTCTTATATGTGTGTACCTGTATGGCAGAAGACTCCAGTGTATGCTGACAGGCTGCAGTCACAGTGGAAGCCGTTGGCCCTCTCCACACAGCGGCCCTGGTTCTGGCAGAACGAACCGTAGCTGCTGCAGTGACCTGGACAGCCGGGTCGAACCCCGGGTGTGATCCTCGCCCTCTCCTCCAGGTCTAGGGTGACGCCGTTCAGTTGCAGGGAGCGAATACAGCCCCGAAAGCCCTTCTGCCTGGACGCTGTGCCTCCTGACAACACAGGAAATGGCGCATGACATTAGCATTATATTTACATTTTAGACATTCAGCTAATGAAATGGAGCGAGAGCTCCCAGACCAAAGAGGTGACAAATACACCACCAGCACACTCTGTTTTTCTTGTCCCAGCCCTCTTTTCATTTCTGTGTGTGTTGACAAGTCTGTATATGTTCTTTCTCTCTAGCTTTTCATTTCTCCTCCTTGTGTCATCTAAAGCAGATCCACATGTCGCCTCTGCTTCCCCAGAAGCTCCAAACTGCCAACACTCTTCTTATGAAATGACACAACGATAAAACAGCAATGAGGCAACAAGCTGTAGGTGGAAAACGTTTTGGGGACGTAACTTTGATCAGCTGTCTGTCTGCCTGATGCCATGCTGGCTGCTCACTGGACGAGTGGCTGATTGTCTGTCTGCCTCTCTAGGACATGCTGCATATGCTCACTTTAAACTTCAAACCTTAAGCTACACAAGTTCAAACTCTCTATTCAATATTGCACATTCTCTCTGAGGTGTAACATGGTCACCTATTGTTTGCATATTTCAAAACATGACAACCTCCCATTTCTGCAAAGAACACAGATTGAAACTCTTATTGTACTCGGAGGATAAACTTGGCAGCTCTTTGCTCTCAGAGTTTGAAGCTGATAACTTCCTATTGTTCAGCAGCAGCAGCTTTTCACACCAATAAATCACAGATCTCCGTTAGACTCTCTTCTAGGCCTCCTCTCTCCGCACTGATATGACTCGTGCGAACTACTGAACTAGCTAAGCAACACAGGATATTAAACTTGCCTCAACATTTCCCCTAACACAACACAATGAAGAGTCATTTTGTTACCGTTATTAAGTGTACTGAAAATCAGTGTTCAACTTTTATGTATTAAGACTGCAAATGGCGATAATACAGAAATGACAATTGGTAATCTTTAAATAATCATTCATAGGGGTGAAACACGGCCTGCCCTTACATGTGCAATAATAATATGACCTTACTTGATTATGCTTGCACTTCTTATGTAATCCAATAATTACACCTAGTTTCCCGCAGAATAATTCAGTTTTCAATTACACCTTTTTAAAATTGTAAACGGCAGTCAATAAACAACAGTTACCCACAAATCACCTCACTTTGAACCACGACAGCACTACTCCTACTGATGTCCATGTAAACACCCACTACCACTTGCGCATGTGCAGCTTCGCCAAGAAAGCCAGAGTCAGAGCTGAGATTTTGGAAAAGTTGGTCCACCCTGAAATTTCTATGGAATTTTGCTTTGTGACACCAGTGTGAACTAAAGCTACCCTGGTTATACTCACGATCAACTGTGCACAGTAAAAATAGTTAGAGAACACAATCTTAGTCTATTTAACTGACATGTCATGCGAACACGTTCTTCTCAGAATTTAAAGGCACTAATTAAAAGTGTTAATACCTCTTATATTATTTACTTTTTTTTTTTACCATTGCATATTCCCACTTCAAAGTGTCTTATAAATGACAATCTTAATGTTCCTCAACATGCAAACACAGGAGTCTCCTGAATAATTTTGCGATATTGTAGTTTTATGTTACTGCTATTAGCTTGAATTATTTTTATGTCATTTAAAACATAATGTTTTTTCATCAGGTTGTTATGAAAAAATGCTGTAAATACTGCGATTTCATCCACCAATGCTAAGGAGAAGTGCAACGTAAATTAGAGTTGTAGCAAATTCAGAATGTAAATTAGTTACTACAAAGTGGACATTAGAACCCCACAGAAGATCATTTTAAGCTAGATGAAGCTATATGTGAGTTGTGATTCCAGCAGGGACCAGAGACAGATCCCTGAGGACCATCACCTCTGATTAAAGCAACAACACCGGGTCAGAGCGAGTTTATTAGCGAACAAACCATAAGAGGGAGGCTATCAGAGTGGTGAGGGTTGCCCTGCTGTTCTTCAGCCCCAACATGGATAACACTCTCTACACATCAAATGGATACACTGCTTACAGGAAACACTTATAAAAGCATAATGAGGGATTTATGGCTCGGAGATCAAAGAAAACATCAAAGAATCCAAATGCAGATAAACTCCACCTCTGACCGAAGGAGCAAAGCTATCAGTGGGACTCTTAAAAGCCTTTCAACCTCATATCAAGCAGTACAACCTCTAGTGTCTCAACATCAGATCTCCATGGTGTGTCCTTGAGTGAATGAGAACAGATGAGGGTGGAAAACAATTAGTGAAATGGAAATCAAAGTAAACATCAAAGGAGATGCACAAGCAAGCCTCAACATCGAGCTTGGAAAGCAACGAGTGGACAGAGCAGATCCAGAACTCAGGAGCTGCGTGAGATTCGACCACATATCCAACAGTACAGCCTCAGCTTGGAGAATAATTTAAGTCTCAACATGAAAGCAGGATATTGTCTGATAATAACAGATAAAACAGTATGGGATGATCTGAGTTGCGAGGGGTGTGAGATGCAGATTAAATAAATCCTCAAAACGGTGTGTACAGTGGGGTTTTCTGATGCTGCACACAAAACATAATCTGTGAATCATTTTAACCTTGACAATAGCAGTTAACGTTCAGCGCTTTATATATGAAGGATTTCTGAAGTTGAAATCAAAAGACACCTTAAAGGAAGTATTGTACATTGGGTTTTCAAAAAAACCCCAACAAACTATGTATCTATACTGTTTCACAGCAGGAGTTCTCAACCTTTTTTGCGCCACAGTCCATTTTAATATTGAAAATGTTGTTTTGAACCAGTGTTCATTACTGAGCATAAGTGTTCTCCACATCCCATCAGCACGCACAGTGTAAGATAAAGGGATTCATGGACACTACCAATCTGAGGGTTCACTTGCATTTATGTTTTGGTTCAGGCATGACATCATAATTTTTCTTTTTGGCCTGGCTGCAAATGTTCCAAAAGCCGGTCCTGGTCCATGGTACAAGGATAGAAAACATCTGTTGTTGATAGCTGTTTGTATTTGATCCCATTTCTTCCGTCATCTGAAGTATATGTGATATTAAAATCCAAAGATACCTCGACACCGTAGGTTTTCAAATAAACTATGTAACTCGTCAGTATAGATTCCTAGCTAGTTGACTTACACTACCTCACTACAGGATGGTCTGACGTCAATACCACTGCATTTCGAGGGATCTGTGAAGCAAACATCAAAGGAATCCTCAAAATCATCGTACAGGAGGGCGCTCCATCTACACACAGCAGCAGAGTGGAAGAGACTGTGTTAAGCACATCAGTTGGTCGACAGCAATGCAGCACGAATATACAAAGGCTTAACTATCCAAACAGGGCAAAATAATTCATTACAAACCTGCACAAAGGAAGAGATTTTCTGCGTTCATTGCTGTGCTCACTTAAAATTGCTGCGTATGGATTTTTAGCACCTACAATACAAACAGCAATGAAGGAATTGGAAAATGAACAATGCTATGGATTATAAATCCATGGAAGGCAATAACATGGCTTATTAATCAAAACGATGGAATTCACTGCTGTATAAAGCAAGAAGGATTATGGCTTGTAAATACAGTGTACATTGAAATAGATTTATGAATTTATACAAACCAACACAGCGGCTTACAATCCAAACAATGGAACAGTTTGCTTCACAAAAATCAAGACTCATATATACAATGCATGTGGTAAGACAGTTTATGAATTTAAACAAGCCAATGCTTGCTTGTCAGTATTTTATACTGTTTGTCTACAGGAAGGAATTGTGTGCTCATAAATGAAATCGTATACAGTAAGATATTCGATATGTGCATAGTAATCCTGCAGGGCCAACAGTCACACCACAAGCCCCAAATGCAGAAATGAAAACATTTCCTATAGCATTCTATTATACACATTCAGATTTTTTACTACTCAGCCTGTGAAAATGCTTAGTCATATTGTGTTGTGGCTCTGGAGGGAGTTTCAAGGTTGAGAAAATTACCTTAGTGCCATCACCAATTCAGGCATGCAAACTAGTCAATAAAAAAGGTGAGAAGGATACGCAAGCAGATAAACACACAGAGACTGTGTCAAAGGGGGCTGTTTAAGCTTAGCCTACATATTTGTATAGATAACTTGCAATTGTGTACTGCAACAACAGAAAGATACCAACATACCAAAGGGGTGTGATGATACACTTAGCTCACGAGAACAAGACAAGAAGACACTACTTTATAGAAAACAATCAATGCTGAAATATATGAGTTGGGGGGTGTGGGGGTCCTCCGCATTAAACACTTAATTTCCTGCCTTCTGGTGAAATTTTCTGCATCAATTTCCTTTCCTGCAATAATTGATGGTGGAAATGTTTTTAATGATGTAGAAGAGAAACACAAAATTCATGTGGCAGGTGACAACTGAAAAACTAAAAATATAAGAGAACAGAAAACTGTCAAGAAGTTGTTAAAGTCATTGACTGGTGCTGCACGTTTTGGGGTCATTTTATAATTAGAAGCTTGATTTTTTTTTTAGCTTAAGTTAAATAAATAAATAATAATAAATAATAGTGTAAATTAACTTTTCTCAAAGCATTTTCATTTGTTATTTAACATTACTGGTTGAAAGCTATTCAGAACATTTAAAAAATGCTTTCAAAAAGTGGTGGGGACAAAACCAGCCATATTAAAAGGTGGTGTGGACATGTCCCCATCCCCAGTGGAAAACACCGAAGTTTGTATCCTGTTGACTTTAGCCTAGCCTACTGTGCTGCCTCTGATCTTCATAAATTAGCTTAGCTGATATTATTGGTTAGTAACAGCAGGCAAAGTTATAAAACTGGCAACATCACTGAATCTGACAGGACAGTACCGATCAACTCTACGTTCCGCAGCATCCACACATGTTCAGCTGTCAGACTGCGCAGTGTAGCGGACTTGAAAAAAGACCTGCCCTACTCTGCCTCTGATTGGCTGTCAGGTTTAGCCATTAGGAGTGACGACTGGTTAGGCATGTGCAGCTGTAAATTTGCAAAGCTCGTGCTAGAGTGGACTCGGTAGATATAACTGACTAACGACCCCGGCACCCCCCATAATATTTTCGGAAATGCACAAATCACGTGGGTGACCCATTCTGGTTTCTAAACGGCAAATTTGAAAAGGTGAGGAGTTTGCATGCCTGATAATTCCAAATACTTGGTCTTGGGTTTAGAAACTACCATTTTGTGTAAAGAAAGTTGGTGTTCCAAACTCGGGAAGTTGAGTTTGAAAGACATGAGCGTTACCTTGTCAGGAGGGCCTAATGAAAACAAAACACACAGCCACACTTGAGGCTCTGTGAGGCTGTACTTTCTCTCAAGCAGTGCTTTCAGAGAAATGCTAACATCAGCAGGCTAACATGCACACAATGACAATGCTAACATGCAAGTAAAGCAGGTAATGTCCACCATGTTTACTGTGTTAGAATGTGAAGATCTGCAAATTAGCACAAACCAAAGTACATCTGATGCTGATGGGCAGGCTGCAGCGTATCATTCGGTCTGCAGAGAAGGTGACTGGTTGTCCCCTTCCATCTCTTCAGAACCTGTACACCTCCAGGGCCCCGTTTCAGAAAGCAGGCTTAACAAACAAAGGAGTTACTGATCTAGGGTTTATCTGATCTCGCTCTCTGAAACAGAAAACCCTCATCTCAGGCTTAACAAACTCAGAATTTTCACTAATCCGCTTTCTGAAACGGGGCACTCTGAGGTGTGCAGGAAAGATTGTAGCTGACCTCTCCCCCCCTGGTCACAAACTATTTCAGACACTCCCCTCTGGCAGGAGGCTGCGGTCCATCAGGACCAAAACCTCTCGCCACAGAAACAGCTTCTTTCCGATTGCAGTGGGTCTCCTCAACAAGGCCCGGGTCCCCACTGTCACTGACTCTCATGACCCCTCCCCAAACACACTGACACACACACTCCTACAAACTCCTGACCTCCTTTACGACAACGCTCAACTGTGCTTTATGCCCATGTTGTGAATTTGTGCACATACATACTATATTCTCAATGAGATATTGCTTCATTCTGATATGTGTGTGCTAAAAAGCACAAGGCAGCACGTTCTGCCAAATGAGTCCCAGAAATCTCTCGTGTGTAATAACCAAAACTGTTAACTAGGCTTGGCTGTGGCTCAGGAGGTAGAGCGATCGCCCACTAATCAGAAGATCTGAGTTTCGATCTCAGGCTCCTCCAATCTGCATGTGCAAGTGTCCTTAGGCAAGATACTGAATCCAAATTGCTCCCATGAATGATTAGTTTCTGATGAGCAGTTGGCACCTTGCATGGTGTGTGAATATCAATACATATCTGAAAAAAGTAATTGTGTATAATGAGATTTTGATAATGAGTTTTTGATACTTCGTTGCAATTAGGGATGGGGATCGTTAATTTTTATTGATATTGATACCCTTATTGAGACTGCATAATGATCCGAGTCTTTACTACTTTACTACTATTTGGTGACGGTTATTTGGTAAAACCAGACCCAACGGGAGTGAGGTAGGCCTGCCTGTTTGATACCGCGTTTCGGTGCCATCAGTAAATAAACATTAGCTTTCTTATCCAATGCATTTCAAGTGAAACCAGATTTGACGCTCAAGACATAAGGTTACATTATAGCAGTATCCAATAAGCTCTGACCTTATTGATTTTCGGGTTTTGAGAAAGTTTGGAACCAGGTCCTTTTAGAAGTGGATAGTGATCCCCATTCCTAGTTGCAATAAAGTGTTTATATATGTAATGTGGCCTTCTACTTTTACTGATTAATTACTGTAAGCAAAGGACCTGTAGATGTTTTTTCACCTTTGGGTTGTTTAAAGATAGTATGTAAATATTTATGAGAGACCTGATTTAATTAAAAAATGGTCTATTCAAGCAAAACCAGGGTTGTTGGTGCTTCTTAATTTTTCTTGTATTCATGGGCTCTCAGTGTTACACTGTCTTATTTTCAGATTTCAAACATTTAGTTGATGCTCCGCAGGTATATTCAATTTCTTACTCAAAGACACTATCACAGAACATAGTGCTGCTGGGGGACATATTAGCAGTTACAGGAATCACATCTGTAACTATCTTTTGCTTTCCCCAAACGGCTAGTCCTCGTCTAGTCACTGCTCCTCGTACAACAAGACGACAGTCAAGTCAGAACATTATACAACCATCATCCACTACATAATCAATCTGGGAACAAATACCAGCTCATTTCAAACACACATCCTTTAGATGTATATAATCTAGTGACTGTACTGATAATCTAGAGGCAACCATATACGGGTTTAGGCTCAAAGTAGATTATTGGCTGCACACATTCAGCCAATCAATATTTACCTCGATTTCCCTGCTGCCGCCTTTGTCAAGGTCAAGGTCAAAGTTTATTTATATAGCATGTTTACATACAGTCACCACTGCCCCAAAGTGCTGTACAGATACTGAGAACAGCATAAGATAAAAAGCATAATAAACAGCCGAATAAAATAGCTCGTCAATGATTGTTGATTTGTTTTCCCTCCACAGTCTGTGTTTACTGATATGAAGTGACATACATAATGTTTGCAGAATGATACAACCTACTAATAAATATGGATTCTCTTTTTTCTCTCTCCTGCAAGTCTACAGATGGACTGAGAGGTCAAAGAGAATCTGAATTATAGAATTGAACTGATGAAGTTGAGATAAACAGGGCTGCAGTATGGATGAAGTTTGTATTAGAGATGGTTAATTTGATTGCCTATGAGATATCGTACAGGTACAAGAAATCACATCACACACTACACTATATCTATATCTATATATATCTCTATATATATCTATATCTATATCTATATATATCTAAATACTACTGTATATATTTCTATATATATACTCCTGCCCTCTGATGCATGCTTATTAAATGTGATTATTGGTCAGTGGCCAGAAACCATCAACTCAGCACTTTCATTTCCAATAGCGCTGAACACCTGATGACATTTAGCCAACAGCAGTTTAGCACTTTTTTAAAGAATATTTATTTAGCTTTTTTAGTATGTAGTACTCTGTGGGAGATCTGTCTTTCCAGTCTATCAGAAGCACAACCCAAACGCAGTCAGGATGGCAGGATTATATCAGTGGTTTAATGACCAAAATATCTTACAGGTGGCTACAAGTAGCCAGACAGCCATGGAGGTAGACAGGTTTGGGTTACAGAAGTGCAAAAACAGAAAGCAAGATAGCAACTAAGACAAATGACTAAAGGAAGTGACTGGTATATGAAGAGAGCTGATATGGGAATGCAATGCAGATGGGGAGATGGGCGAGGAAGCTCAGGTGAGGGTAATGAGGTGATTGCAGGGAAGATGGGAGTGGCAGGATCTGAACTGAAAGGAGAAAAGTCTAAAGGGCATCTGGTGAACAGGTGAGGAGTAACGCTGAAGGAGCCAGGGAAAGTGTGGCTGAAGTGGGGACAGGAAGGGACATTGTGAGGGCCTTGGATGAAGAGGTAGCAGAAACCCGACTGAACAGATGTGCACATTCAGCACACTTTTATAGCCAATACTGCTGATCAGCCAACAGGATTTAGTCGATAACAGATTAGCATATGTGAAAAGAGAGTTTTTTTCTAAGGATACACATATCTCTGGAGGATCATATGCTGTACTACGAGCTGCTGATTTCTAAACTTTACTTCCCTAGCAGGTACAGTGCCAAAGCCTGTATTGATAAATATGTCAAATTGGCATCTTCCATATTTAGTACCACTTGGTGGCATTTTGTCAGTAACAGCTTAGCATGTGTGAGGATGCAGAGGAGTTGGAGTTTCTACCTTTTTATCTCTGCAAAGACAAACAGCAGCACCTGCGCAAGGAAGAAACAAACTTTTTTTTATTGTCTTTACCTGAAATGACCATACCAAGTGTCACCAAAGGGTTGTGATGGTGTAGTGCAGGGTGGCAGCTTATATGTCCTTTGTCATCTTGGCCATTTGCCTCATGAAACACCCAAGAACTATGTCTAAAGTATGCTGTATCTGTTATCCTCCACCTGGCCCTAAATATAGGACAGGATGTGCACACAACTGCCTTCCTGCAAAAACTCATAATAAAACGGTTGAGAGTCAGAGCTCTATTAAAGCTGACACACACTGCTAATTGGTATTCAACTTAACATGACTTCATTGTTATGCACAAAACGAGGGCTGCTGCCTGACTTGCTGGTGCATCAATCAGAAATAAGGAAATAATGAAGACATATGCCAAACATTGGCAAATGGTAGTTGGAAAGACGAACATCTGTCACAACTGGAGAGTTACCAACAGACAGAAAAACACTTAACACAATAAACTGGAGAACTGGAGAACAAAGAAGATGTACACCAAATAAATGCCTGTCTGTGTTGGAGAAATACGGAGACATTTGCTAAAGGATGGAAGTCTTCTGTACCGCTACTAATGAGGGAACTGTTCACTGTCCATATGTATCTCATCCTTACCTATGAACAGCTGGCTGTTGAGCTGCAGGTGGAAGTGTCCGTCAGCAGGAGCCTCCTGTGTGGCGGCAGGAAGTTCATCCAATCGGAGCGACGCCTCCTTGACGTTCCGCTCAGCTCGGACTCGATGCCACCGGTTGTCGTTCAGCGGCGCGCTCGACTCCACACGAACCTCCAGCGGCCCGTTACCCACGTCAAAGGAGAAAAGCACCTGAGTGGAAGCTGACGGGAGGGAGACAGATGAGAGGGGGTCAAAGGTAAAGGTATGATTCATGGAAAGCACGGCAACAAAGGGGAAAAACAACAAAGGAGAGATTAGAACAGAACAGAAATATGTCAGGATTGAATAAGTAAATAATCAGGCCAGTAGACTACCGTTTTTAACATAATTAAAATTACTTAATTAAACAACATGTTTTATTTCCAGAAGAAAAGTTAGATTCAGATTGACACACTGTTTCAAGCTAATTTTGAGTGATACATCCGTTGCATGAGCCTTTTGATCACTTGCCTTTTCTTCAACTTCATTATCACCCTGAGGGATAATTCATTTGTAGACAGGTATTAAATACATTCTTCACAGAAATACACTGCGTTCCTTTAATAACCATTAGGTATTTTATTAAAGTCACTGTATTAAAGTGATTGAGATATTACCAAGTTCCCTCTTGAAATATAGTTAATAGGTTGGACAATGTGATCATAATGACTTGCAATTTGACCTGCTAATGTGTGTCTTGGTGCCAATTTAAAATATACTGAGGGCCCTCTCCCATCAAAAATTACGGCAAAAATGCATTGGGTGTGTTGAAAGCTCCTCCACGGAAAGGAAATATTTCTGAAATCTCCCTGTTGGAAGTGTGTGCTGTTACGTTTGCTCCACCAGCTCCAACCAGGCATTGCCCAAATTTGACCTTCCTGGCTTTCTTTGGACCAAGGTTAGCAACACATTTACTGCATTTTCACTGAGCAGAACTGCATTTGATTGGTTGTTATCAGCATGGCTGAACAGTTGACTAATGTGTGATTAATCACAACAATTGGTTGAAGCTGTGCATTTTATCAACTGCAGTAAGTCTGTGCATTAAGGTGGAAAAAGGGGTGTGCAAAATGGATATCTAATATTGATATGTATAGTGAAATGCATTTGCTGGAAATAATGATAACAATGATTCTGACAATACTGTCCAGGTACAAAACAGCCCTTCCTATATTTCAAATTTTCAGAGACAGTTAAAGCCATGACTAGCTTCAGTAATTCCATGTGATGTTTTATTCAGCATTTACTGTTCCTGAGGTTTACTCTCCATATTCTAAGACAAATCAGCACTACAGCAGTTGCTATAAGAAAATGAAACCGGCAGTGTGGTTACTTACATCATCATAACATAACTATTTAATGCATAAAATTCACCAACACTCCCTTCTAACTTCCTAGCAGTAATTTCTGCTATCTAAAAATGTCTACAACATTGTTCCCTCTCTCCTGCTGTTATTATAGAACAAGTCTGAGCTAACTGCGACCCCTGACTCATAAATATTAAACATAAATATTTTTTAAAAACCCGATATTGATCGTTTTTCAAAATCTACCATTCTTATGTAGACATGTAAGGCAAGCCAAATACTGTTGAGAAAGGTTTTGTTGGATTTTTAGTAATTAGCGTTGATACAAATGTCAATGGGATTTTGAATGAGGTTTTCTTACTTCTTATTAAAACACCTGGAAGTTTTCAAGCAGCGCTCAGCCTCACAAAATCATTGTCATGTTCAGTCCAACAAAAGGAGTTTAGTTGGGAGAATACAACCCTCATCCTTCAGGTTTTGGATGGAGAAGATGTATCACGCTGTGAGCATAGAACAAGATGAAACAACATCCCAGCATCATAAGGTAACTTCATTTAGAAAAAGTTCTCAGGCTCAGCCTCAATGTTACGGAGTCATATGAGGAAGCTGGCAACAGGGCAGCAGTATTCTAAGCTGGAACAACACACTGACATTGATTTCCCAGAGGAGAGAGGCTGCAGTGTCCCTGTATTAGATTCTATGTTTGTGTCTCTTCAAATCCCATTCCTATAAAAATGCAAAATGCAGCACAATACAAAAACTGCAAGCTAAACCAAACCAAAGATAGTGAAATGGACTGCTTAAGCATCAAAAAGCAACCACTCCAACAACCGATTCAAAGCATCTGTACATGACTTACTAAACACCAGATAACATGTGTGCCCATAAACACGCATCTCATATCTATATGGTAAAGAACACCCTTGTGGGCTTTGCTGCCATATTTTTAATGGCAACACACCAATGAGGTATAACACCTTACCAGCCACAATGTTGTTGTACCCATAAAGTAAAAAATACCCTCTTGGTTATTACTGTCATATTCTAAAGCATATCCACACACATAACAGAAACCTTAAGTAAAGCAAAGAATAACTGATCTACTCTACTTCTCAGTAACAAAACCATCCTTGAAGCAAAGGAAAATAAACTTCTCTTGTCAGTGCAGGATTTCACATTTGCTTTAATTTCTTTCGAGATATGACCGACATTTGTATTGTTTTCAATAGCCTAGTTATTTCCCCCTGCTATCTGTCTTTATGCTATGCTAGTGTAGTCAGCAGTGAAAATGTCCCCCAGGCCACCAAATGTCCCTCGTGACATTATTCATATGGAGCCGTATTTCTGTTTTAGCTTTGCGTATACCTGTCTGCTGTTTGGTGCGTAACAGGCAGTGTGTGGTGAGTTTTTATAACATAACAGCTGCCTGCTGAAACCGCTATGTAAGCATTGAGAGTGAACTAAAACAGCAGACAGGCTGGACACCTAAACAATTAGCTGAAACTGGCTATAACTGGCTGACCCTTCAAAAGCCCATAGTTGCCTATAAATGGTCAGTGAAACCACCCTCATTAATATTAATACGTGCTGACTGCAGGAAGAAAAGGAGGCAAATTCTGACAGAAAAGCTACAAAACAAAATTTAACTCAGCGTGACATTGACGTTCTTTTTGGTGAAGCTGAACCATGTTGTTTGGTGGGTAAAAAATGCATTTCCCTCAACGCTTGTGCACTGGAGGAAAGGGGAGCTCCACTCTCCTTTATAATAATAAATCTGCAGGAACGGGCGTCCCTCCTGAGTAACGTGTTTTTACAAGCAGCGCATCACATCCAAACAATGGTGCACAGCATTTGTCTCGATAAGGTAATGAACATCTGATAACTATAGGCTATATGAAACTATGCACTCGTATTTGCTCATAATTGTAATTTGTCCTCCTGTTCACCTCGTTTATGCATGCAAGCAGTCTATTAATTAATATGATTCCTGATTAAACTGTTCAACATATTTGAGGCGTTCTTTTGCAGAAACAGATATCTCCGTATGTGTTTATTATCCTAAATCTGGATCCTTTTGTGTGCGCTGCAACAACCTTAAATTGTGGGGGGGGGTTTGTGCACTTCAGGGAAAGTCAATCAAATGGGTGTTTGTTTATTCAGAAAGGCTTTAAGCCTATAATATTCAGAGGTAATATTTTGATTTATTTTACACAATAGTAGGCATATTCATTTCAAACTGTTTCATCCTTCTGCCATGTGAGTCGCCGTTTCTCTTTTCTCCTCTTTATGTGCGTACGCATGCCTCAGAGTTTATTTACAGGACCGCACATTCTCCCATCAAGTTTCATCACAACCTTTGCTTGGGAAGTGGCGTACGCACGTTTCCAGCCCTGTTTTGTACGTACGCACTGTGTATAAATGAAACCTCCGATGAAACAGATGAGTTTTTGAGTGTTAACTCTTTATATTTGCTGTAGTTTTCAGGGGCTTTACTGCTGTTCAGTGAACTGAACTCAGCCCCATTCAGCACCTTTGGGATGAACTGGAAAACCGACTGTGAGCCAGACCTTATCACCCAACATCAGTGGCCAGCTTCACTCGTGCTCTTGTGGCTGAAGGGGAACAAATCCCTGCAGCCAGGTTCCAAACATTTGTGGAAGTTATGGATTTCCAGAAGAGTGGCGGCTGTTACAGCAGCAGATTAATGCCCACAAATTTAAAATGATGTTTTACAATCACATACGGGTGTAATCTTTAAGTGTTAGATTGTTAATGTAGTAAAGTATGAGACTAAGTTGTTAAACTTTGTGTCAGGACAGGAAGGTCAAGGCAGCTGAGTTCAACCTAAAATAAACAATATTTTTCCTCCAGGATAGTTTGATACAGATTATGTCCTGTGTAAAACCTGGGGGTTTTGCACAGATCCAGATTAAGACTTTGACTTCTCAGGTTTCACTGACACATCATTCTAATCCGGATTAAATGTTCACCCTTCAGCTCCTACTTACAGCTCAGTTCGATCCGTATGAAGTCTTTGATGCCCAGGTTTTCCAGGAACACACCAGACGAGGCCGTGGTTTTAAACAGGAAGGAGATATCAGCACTCAGCTCTCCGTGGAAGGTGGGAAAGTGAAGGTACGACGTCTCCTTGTCGAAAAACGCAGCGTTCCAGAAGTTCTCTGAAAAACACAATGCAAACTCGCAGTCAAGATCTTTAAATGGAAATCACGTAGCAACCAAATGAGGCAACACGTTCATTAAATGAGCTTACACAAGGGTATGATTTCTGTTATGTGGTCTTGTTTGATTAATCATGCCAAACATGGATTTATCCATCTACTTGGGTAGATATGGAGCGTCTGTAATTACGAATAATTGAATGAAGGAAAAACAGCGTGCTACTTTGATTTACCTTGTAATGCATTTAATGAGAAGAAAGTGTCAGAGTGTGAAAACTTAAAAGGAAATAGTTCCGCTAATGATAATTATCTTTTAGATGTTGAGTTGCCCAGAAGAATTCATTTATTACAAAAAAGGCAGGTGCAATAAAATATTAAACACCTAATCCTGTATTTCCATACCAACAATAGGCCTGAGAGGAATTAATGATGATTAATGAATTAATTTGCTGCTTAATTGAAAAACGGTGGCTAAATGTGGATTTATCCGGTTCAGAAACCTTTTTTTGTTTGTTAGTTTGAATCCTTCCATCAGTTGGACAGAGCTGGACTTACTGTCTCCATGACAACGGAGGGGTCCCACCCTGTAGGCGGCCTCTGACCCCGGCCTCTGGAGGTCACCCAGCACCAGAGACCGGACAGGGAGGCTCTCCTTGTGGATGAGCAGGCCGGAGTCTTCAGCCCTGGAGGAGGATGGGGGGGGGGGGGGAAGGGGAGGCAGAAGATAGAAATGGAGGAGAAAAAAGGAAAAGAACAATAAGGAGGAGAAAAGAAGGAGGAGAAGAAAGAGGGGAAGAGATAAAAAACATAAGGGGTGAAAGTGAATGAGAAGGAAGCAAAAGAGGGGATGAGATGAAGAAGCAAGCGGAAGAGGGTTGCACAAAAAGACAAAAACATGAAAAGGGAAAATGGAAGAGAGGAGGAAAAAGAGGAAGAGATTATAAGAATATGAGACAAAGGGAAGCAATAAAGAAGGAGAAAGGGAGAGGAAAGAGAAAATGAAAGGATAAGGAATAGGACAAGTACAGGAAAGAAGTAACAGAAGAAGGAGAAGAAGACATGAAAAAGAAGAAAAGGAAAGAAAAGGAACCAAGAAACAAAAGCAGTGGAAGGAGAAGAGGGAGTTAAAGAAGGAGGACAATGAGATGAAGTAGTAGTAGAAATCATCTAAGGAAAAATACACTTTAATTATGCTTATTTGCTTGCAGAAACATAGCAGCAAATTGCACTGCTGAACTAGGACATGTGCAGTGTCTTCGACAAATTTTCCAGGAAGACATTTTAATAGTGAGCCAGATCGTATGACCCTGAGACAAGAGTGTTAAACATCGCCAATATTTGTGACAACTATTTTTCAGAAGAGCAGTCCAGACAGACAGCTGGGTGAGCAGCGCTGCCCATTTACACCCATGTTCAGCTTTATGCACTTCTGATAATCTACACGTCAATCTTGTTGTCAGGTGAGAATTTTCCAGGATTGGAAGCGAGTTGCGTATTCTCACAGCCCTCTGAGGATCTGATGAATGGTCTGTAAAAAATGTAACTGAAAGTTTGACAGTTTGGGTCGAAAGATTATAGAAAGAAGGAACTGAGGTGTGAAGAAGACTTGACAGCATTGGTCACAATATAACACATATTAAAAAAAAAAGGTTGAACTAGTTTTCCCTCAGAGCTTGTGCTTAAGAGGCAGCAACTTCATGTCCTTTCAGTAGTGTAGTATTATTTTTCATTCTTGTGGTTATTCTTACAATTCTGTTAATATGTGTTGCATTTTTAACCTACTTTTAACGTAAGTTTCACAAAGATAAACTCCACTGCAAAGCTGTTGCAAATATTGGATTGCATTATAATGTAAAGGACGTTTTCACACAGTGTATCAAACTTGACTGGTTTCAGTGACGTGTCAATCCAAATAAAAACATAAACAAGAGTTAATTGGCACACATTTGTGTTTATGCAGTAAAAATAATCATGTCTGTATATATATAAAGCTCAGTACCACTCGACGCGGTCGGCGTCACAGTTGCAGTAGTGTTGTGGGTCCACACAGTCGCCCTGCAGGCCGCAGGCACACTGCTGGCTGCCTGGCTGAGCGCCGCCCCAGTAAGTCTGGACACGACCAGGACCGGGACCACCGAGCCACCAGCTCAACGGCGAGCCATCTGAAACACGCACGAGCAAACAAACCCTTAACGTCTCTAAAGATGTCCAACAACGTTCTTATTCAGTCTACTTCAACCTTTAACAAGAACACTGAACGGTTAGGTTAGCTGAACTGAAAGGTTAGCTAAGTTAAAGTTAGTAAACCTCAGCTGGACTACTTATGGATGATCAAAATTCACTGTTTTATCAGCCATAAAAGCTTCCCAATTTTCAAACAACTTTTTTTTCTCACAGATTTAAGCCTCAAGAACGAAGCTGGGAGAACGACTTGATCAATTGTTAGTGGTACCAGCATCCTTTGAAGTAATTTTACTGAATGTTTCTGTAATCTCTCTGGTAATAAATAGAATTTGTGCACATACTTAATTTAAAACTATATCAGGTCATAAAAAGGAAAACCAAAGCAGTGAAAATCTGTCTGAGGGATGCCATGTGTGAAAATAGCAGAGTGCTGTATCTCTTAGCCTCTCAAGATGAATCCAGTGTTTTAAGTGCAGGGATGTTTGCCAGCCCCTGCCCCCAACACTGAATATATTGTTTTGGATGGAGGGCAATGCTAGTATACAGTGAAAAATGTATTTTGCACTATGAGATTGTGTAGGTGGAGAGGAGTGAGAGAAGGTGATTGGAAAGGTCTCTGTTGAGTCAGCACTTCTTTCTTTCCCAGAGAGCAGCAGGGAGTTAATAATGGAACTTGTATTTCTCTACCCATTCTTCCTTTTCTACCACTTTGACTATTTTCATCCATCATATTATTACCTGCCACCTCAAAAAGTTGCTTCCCTCTTTTATAGTCTATGTAGCTCCACAGGAGAGAGAAAGATGTGTCCTCACTAGTTGTAAGGATGTCAACTGGACAACTGGCAAGCAAAAGAATGCTTTATAAATGACCGGTTATTGAGTTATCTAAATTGTGGTCGATTACTTTTTTCTGTCCACTGACTAATAAATAATTTCACTGTTTCAGAACTATTCATAGTTACAGCGGTGCTTTGAGCTAAATGCTAACTTTAGCATGCCAACCTGCTGGTGTTTACCAGGTTCACTATCTTAGATAAGTATGTTAGCATTCCAACATTTGATAATGATTATGGGAGTAATCATTAGCACACACACGCTTACTTTTTATTTATTAATTTTATTTTATTTTTTATATAGTTTAATTTTTCTAACACAAACACGCTTTAATTACTTGTTTAATGAAATGTATGGGGTTGATTGTTCTTATGTTGTATGTATGATGCTTTGGCAATATTGTTGTTACACATTCATGCCAATAAAGCTAATTTGAATTGAACTGAATTAGCATAGTATAACCAAAGTAATAGACAACAACAGTATTTTGACCTGACGATGGCGCTAGAGGAAAAGTCAGTGGATCTCCAAAGTTATCAAAATACAAAATGTCATGGCAATCCCTCAGATAGTTGAGTTATTTCAGACTGGATCAAAGGGGTGGACCGACCGACAAACCTAGAGCCATACTGCTTGCATGGCTAAAACTGTGTGTGATCAAATGTACATATGTCCCTGATGTACCAAACAGCGACTACACTGAATGATGCTCTCTTTTACTTGTACATGGATTTGAATGAAAGTGTAAGCTGTTGCAGTAACTGCTACCAAGACAAATTCAATGGAACTTAGTGATCAAAGTGATTCTCCCTCCTTTTTAATACTCACTCTGAGTCAATAGCAGGTACTAAACTAAACCCTAACAATCAATTTCATTTGATTCAGTCATTTGTGAAAGAGAAGAAAATAATGTGCAGAGTCCGAGCTGAAGAGAGCCTGATTAACCAAGCTTTCATTAACTTTGATTTAACCCAGCAAGTCAATTAGGTACAAGTATTGTTTCTGCCTTCTCTTATTTAAATGTGCACTTGAGGGGTATTGAGGGAAATTGAGTAAATAAAATGCTTGAATACTCTCTCCAAGTTAAGATTAAATAAGAGTTAAAGGACACAGATTAGATTAAGTAAAATCACAAACACAGAATGGAATAAAATCAAATTTGGCTCCAGTAGAGTACATGATTCAAGTTGTTGAGACAGAGTCAATGACAAAATTTGTTAAAATATGAGTAACAACACAGTGTGAAACCAGAAACTCATCAGGGTTCCCTGCAGGGGCGATTCTAGGATCAGACCTTTCGGGGTGCTCAGCCCCTAATGAGAATGTAGCAAGCTTACAATGCCTTACAAAAGTGTTCACTAATTGGTGGAGAGTATAAGTAGGCCTACTAGAGCGGAGCGGGTCAGTAAAGTACGTCACTTTTTGTTGAAAAGTGGTGGAGACATAAGGGCTCAGATCAGGGGGGTGATGATACATTTGTGTCATGAGACGTGACGATGCACGAGAACAAGACAAGAACATTTTTAGCACTATTTAGATTAAATATTTGATGCAGAAATATATGTGAGGGGGGTCTGGGGGTCCTCAACCAGAAGATTTTAGCATTAAATAATTTACTGCATTCTGGAGACATTTTCTGCTCCAATTTACGATGGGAATGTCTTGTTTTTATATGAAGGAAAGCTATACTGCATTGCATGTTTTCTTATTGTGCAAATAAACCTTTTCTCAAAGCATTTTCATTTGTCAGTTACCATTTCTTGGTGCAAGCTGTTTTTCAGAACGTTTTTAACAAATGCTAACAAAATGTGGCCAAAATCAGCCATTTTAAAAAGTGGTGGGGACATTTCCCCAGCGTCTACGGTGTAAATGACAGAGTACTGAGTTACTGAACGCACCATCCTTGGCATGAATGTGCGACTGGGAGGCAGGTCAGCTGCACTGGACCTGATGTTATTCAAGTCAGCTGTTAGTATAATGTTACTATATTACTTACATAATCACAGCATATTCAATACATTCTCATATACTGTATAGTTTACGACTAGTTTAGGCCTGTTATGAATATTATATTCCAGTAAGCAGTGTTGGGAAGTAACTATATACAAGTAATTTAGTTACATAATTTAATTACAAATGAACTGTAACTAATATGTTACAGTTACTGGGGAAAATGTTCATGATAACATCGGGGGTTACATCTGAATATTTTCTGTAAAAAGCTCGGCTATATGTTGAATAATATTAATGTTGTTGCTTAGCGTTTTTCATGTGCACAGTGCCTTTCTTTGCCCGGTCCAGCCACAGCAGTTCAGTAAAGTTTGATGCTGTTCTGATGCTTTTGATTCGTTCCCATGTCTGAATTTGCAGCACCACCATCTGCCATTTAAACTGTGTTTGCATAAAAATCAAATCCCTCATCTTCAGCTTTGAGGAGGCCTATATCTGGCTCAGCTTCCCCTGTGCTGGGCTCTGCCTCTGCTGATTTTACAGCTATATATGCATGAAAAGAACATCAGTAATAAATATGACTAACAATAATCCATTTCTAATTTTATTTTTCCTCATCACCATGACTGGGATCATCATCACCATGTCTCTCTGTATCACCTCCACTGACCTTAACAGCTAATATATACAGACACACAAAGATTCCTCGCTTATAGAAGGATGTTGTCTTTCAGTGATAACACATTGCAAACTGTTGTTTATTATATATATATATATATATATATATATATATATATATATATACACATATATATATATACACATATATATATACACATATATATATATACACATATATATATATTATATTTAATTTCAGTATATAATAAATGCATTATTCATTGCGTACATATTTCTTCTGCTGCTGGGTCCTGCTTCATCTGCACCTGCCACAGCAACTTCCACCAAGGAAGCAGTCGGTTAATTTAGCGCATTCAGCTGCCTCTTGTGCCTAAACAGCATTCCACTGCAGCTGACCGGTCCACCACCGTGGTCGCGGATCATTAAGTAAAACATTAGAAACTAAAAAATGTCAGTATTTAGGGACATAAAACCCGTTTAATGTAAGAAAAGCCATATTAAACTGCAGGCTAATTAGTTGTCCCTTCTCTTTCTTCTCCAAAATCTAACATTAGAGGACAAAAAAATAATTTTCAGAAAAAACTAATAAATTATTGTTTTATTTTTTAGGGGTGCTTAGATGAAATTTAGGGGTGCTTCAGCAAACCAAGGCCTGTATAAATCAGTTAATCACACCATATGTTAGCCCCTTTACTAACAATCACAACCTCCTATGAGCTATGGCTAAATTTCATATCATATTACGGCCCATTTTATTGTAATGTGAGAGACAATGCTAGCAAAGTGAAAAACTGTGCTGTTAGCCAGTATTTAGCCGATGTTTGGAACACAGCTGGGCTTCATTCATTGTTTTGACTCAGGCTTCATTCATATCCAACTTTCTCAACGACACCCAACACATTTGAAACCATTGCTCCTAGCCAGAGCTGAAACACAAACCTTAAACCCTTGCAGGCAAATCAAGGTGGCAAGCACGCAACGTCTGCAAACATGTTAACCACTTTAATATCATTCAACCATTTAAAAGAAATTGAGAAGAAAACGTTATAAACCTAATAAAAACAACTACAGTTACCAGCCGGCAGTGACTAATATTTACTGTACCTTTTTGACCGTTTGGGTCACTTTAATTAATGTCTTCCAACCTGTGCTAACATGTGACGCGACTCAGGGGGGCATTCACAACGCTGCAGTTTTTTGGGAGTCCCTTACCTGGAGTGTTGAGGAGGCGGGACTTCTTACACTGGTAGGACAGTTCCTGTTCGCAGTGCTCTGATTGGCTGATGGCGGCCAATAGCTGCTCCTCTTCAGAAGAGTAGTCAAAGTGGACTAAATGCTGGTGTCCTCCTGGGGACAGTTGGACTCTTGTGAGCTCTGTGTTGTTTTTCTGGATCACCATCCATGTGTTCTCCTCTGGTGGGGGATAGATACATTAATATTCATTACTGATGATGCTGATTAGTTGCTTCTACTGATTCATTTGCATTTGCTAATTCATACTTTCTCTTTTGTCATAAACAGTATGTTGTATCATACACTTGCCTTAGCAAGAACAGCCATTACCCCTTTAATGCATAGAGCGGTAGTCTACATTTACAGAGTCCTTACTAGAAAATGACCATCTTATATCTCAACTTCTCACTCAGACTTAAAGGAATAATTTGCCATTTTGGGAAATAGGCATATTATTTTTCTTACCAAGAGTTAGGGGAGAAGATTGATACCACATATATATCTGTACATTAAATATGAAGTTACAGCCGGTTAGCTTAGCTTAGCACAAGGACTGGAAGCAAAGGGAAGCAGCTAGCCCCAAAATACACCTTCTAGCACTTTTAAGGCTCACTAATTAGCACACTGTACACAAACTGAAATGTATAACCATTCTTTGTAGCTTTTACTTTTCAGTTTTTGGTATGGATAAATCAAATTAGATATATTATGTTAACAAATGAGCTTTAACTTCCTGGTTCTAGCTCCATATTTAGAGAACATGTATTTATCTTATCATCTAACTCTTAGCAAGAGAGTGAAAAACCCTACAGTGTTCTCCAAAATACAGAACGATTCCTTCAACCAGCTCCAGTGATTGGTCGATGCTTCAGTAGCTACTGATCTGGGAAAAACTGCTTCTAACTGCGTGAGTTCGGATGAATAATCTGAAAAATAACCTAATAAACTGTGTGGCCATTTAATTGTGTCACTATTGGCCTACTTATAAATACTAACTTGGTCTTCAGAGAAGGAGGTGATATTTGGCTCCTGAGTGCAAATGCCAAAGGAAATGTGTGGGCATGAACTTTAAAACAATGAAGATTAATACACATATGCAAAGTATATGAAGCAGTGAGACAGAAAAAGAGGAAGCGTGCCATCATTATTTATTATCTATGTGATTAAACAAATGACACAACATTGAAGAAAAAGAAGGGATGGATGATAATGTGGGTCAGAGCGTGATGAGAGGAGCATCATCAGTTAGAATTATGTAAAAAGTTTAGTGATACGAGGATGAGGGGAGTTGGTGTGTGTGTGTGTGTGTCTCACCTGTCATGTTGCAGTAGACCAGCTGCGGTTTGATTGGTCCGCTGCCGTCCACGTCGATATAAAAATGTCCCGACGTGTTGCCGTTGTGTTTGTACGCCTCGCACGACTGTTCGTACACAGCTGGGAGGAAATGAATGAGATCAGCTCCAGCATGAATCACATCAACATCAGCACTTTAGACACACACAGAGGAGTTGTGAGGGGAAGAAGATACACACTGTGGAGGATTATGGGTGCTGCTTCATACGTATGTATCACCACCGAGCCCCATAAAGTACAGATTACTCCAGCTGGAGAGGATAGTATGACTGATGGGAGTACAAAGTTTCAATAAATAAAACTTTAGACCTTTATCAGCCCTGCCTCTTCCTCTCTATCTCCATAAGTCTTCCTCCCTCCTCTCTGTCCCCCCCCCACACACACACCAGTGCATCCTCTGCAGTCAAAGAATTGAGTCCTTCGAGTCAAATCCATATCTAAAGGTTCCCACAATCTGCTCACCTGTTTATCTCGCTTCTTCTCCACAGCCAGGGGCCTTTCATTTATCACATTCCCTCAGTGTGGTTAGAAAAAGGTTTTCACAGAAACATCAGCAATAAAAATGATACCAGGAGTGAACTGCGTGGTAAACTTTCCTCCTTTGGTCTCAAGGGCTTGACTCGAGGGGTTCGGCATCCAAACCGGTAAATCTTCATTGTCATTTATTTATTGGGCATTTGGCACTTTAGTCACAGCTACAGTATCATTAATTTCCATCATATCACTCACATTCAAGCAGATTTTATAATACTGTAACCTTAATTTGAAAGAAAGGATGTGCAGATATCAAACAGAGCTCACATGGGGTCGTCTACTTAAAGGTTGATTCCAATTTAGGTATTTCAGTATCTCCATTTGTATTTGTTATATCAATGTGGCACCAACCAAAGTAATTGCCGAGATCGGGGAAAAATCTCTTAAACATGATCCAATAAAGCAAAAAACATATGTGGTCAGAAGATTGTATTAAAAAAAAGAAAAGACAGTAACCTATTTACCCAAATTAATGTAGTTGAAGGTAAAATTTTGGCAGTATTCCCTCATTGCACAGGAAAAAGTACATGCACAGCTACGGTAAGAACCAAAGGTCCAATTTGAGCTGGAAAGTTGGTCTGTTTACCATAGGCAGTTCTGGTAATAATATTTCAGTTTGCCTTTGTTTTTTCTTCCAGAATAAGTTTGGCTCACCTGTTGGTTTTGCTAATTATATGCCCGTCATTCAGTCAAACAAATAGGAGGCATGGTCAGTGATAACCATTAGAATGTTTTCTGTGATTACTGTTTAATGTTTTTTTATTGCATATTGTATGAAGCACTTTGATTGCCATTTAAAATGTGCCATACAAATAAACCTGATTTTATTATCTTTGTTTAATGGGTTTTTGCCACATGATGTTTCATTTAATTCCGTCTTCCTGTGTTTGCTCTGCCTCTGAGTTGAAATTACACATGAGGAGAAAAAAATCCTTATTATTCTGTTCAGTCACACTGCCTCATTTCTGAATTTTATTACATAAGCCCCATCTCACCTCTCTACCTGTCTATATGTCCCTGTCTTTCTTCATTTGGTTTGCTGAGATTTGGCTGACAGGTGACTTACTGCTGTGGCAGGTCGCTCCGCTGTAGCCGCTGTCAGAGCAGTTACAGTGGAAGACGGTCCAGGACTGACTGCAGTGGCCGCCATGTTCACAACGACTGGGAGAGCACCTACGAGAGAGAGAGAGAGAGAGAGAGAGAGAGAGAGAGAGAGAGAGAGACAGAGAGAGAGAGAGAGAGTTAATTAGCTAAGAGTTAATTTAAGATTAACAAGGCTGATTTATTTGCTTATTATGGCATCTTAAACTTCTGGAAACAATTCTCCTTTAATGTCAGGAAGAGTACACATTTTACATGAAATCATTTATATTTTAGCTGATTCACTTCCAGTGTTTTGTTCAGGGGCTCTTCTTCAGGACACACTTACTGCATTTTCACACATGGTTCCTGAACATCCAAATTAAAGATCCGCTCTGTGATTCTGTCATAAAGCCCAATCACAAATCTTCCAGTTATAAAGCATCCACAGTTCTAATTTGAAGGTGTTATAACAACATCAGGGGTGGTATCATTGCGGTAATAAGTTTAATTAAAGCATTTGCATGTTAATACATGCATACACAGATACATAAGGCAAGGCAGGTTTATTTGTATAGCACATTTCTACAACAAGTCAATTCAAAGTGCTTTACACAAAACATAAAAGCAGCAAAAGGAATCTGAAAAAAACCCCACATTAAAATATAATTTTTAAAAGAGTGGAATAGAAAATAAAACAGGGTAAAATACATTTTAAAGAGTTAAATAAGAAATAGAAACAGGGTAAAACAGGACAGTAAAAGGCACAGTGCAGTGCACGACATTAATCCACAGCCTTACATTTGATCTAATTAAAGGCAGTGGTAAAAAGAAAAGTCTTCAGTCCTGATTTGAAAGAACTGAGAGTTTCAGGAGTTTGTTCCAGATATACGGAGCATAAAAACTGAACGCTGTTTCTCCTTGTTTAGTTTTGACTCTGGGGACAGAAAGCAGACCTGCTCCAGACGACCTGAGAGGTCTGGATGGTTCATAACGAAGCAGAAGATCAGAAATGTATTTATGTATTTTGGCCCTAAACCATTCAGTGCTTTATAAACCAACAGCAGGACATTTCTCTGACAGACAGGAAGCCAGTGTAAAGACCTCAGAACTGGAGTGATATACATATGTACGTACATACACATGTCTGGACACCAGAATACTAGAGTACCAAAACGTTAGTAGGTAACAGGGAAAAGGAATACACTGTAACAATAAAAATTAATGTGTTTACATATTGATCAATTTAGAGAGCATTTTCAAGTTTACTCTTAGTTTGTATTGTGGTGAAAACCTATTTACAGTTGCTAGCAATGAGGCAAGCAGACTATGCAGCATACTGTACTACAAATAGTTTAAAAGATTAATGTGTAATCCAGACAAGTTCAAATATCATTACTTAATTACAACCCTAAAAGTCTTGAGGAGCAGAATGTATGCTTTAATACATTGTATATAGCCTTTTGTGGTAGCAGAGGAAACTGTACTAAATCTGATAAGTGATGTTTACTTGGCAGCTTGAGAGGTGAAAACATGACCTCTGTAATCCGCTCCTCATCTCTGCTTGAGGCCAGCAATCCATGGTATCAGCTGGCATTAGTTGCTACTAGCATAACCTACCCAAATGTCGGACCACACTGACATGAAAAATGAAAGTAATACAAAAGATTAATTTAGACCTTCTTTTTCCACTGCCCATCATGAGTCCGACAACGTTACAGAAGACCAATGCTAAATGGTGTTTAATGTTTTGCCTTACTGTGATTATAATGAAAGTTTTAGTGAGCATTTAAAAGCCCTGAATGTCATTTGACTTTGGGGTTACAGATCGTCTCTCTCTAACCGTCATCATTTACACTGTGGTACACAAAACTGTGAGTAGTTCCTACGGAACGAGTGAGGAACAAATCAGGAAATACCTTCTAACGAATTAACTGTTAATAAGTAGCTTCTGAATATCTCAGAATTGAGGACTGTTTAGAGGAGAGAACTGAATGAGACATACTATCTTAAGGAATAATTACCTAATAATTAGTTCATAAATGCCTATGAATCAACAGACTGACCATTTTTCATGAATCATTATCTAATGATTTTTTAATATAGTATGTCTTAGTCTGTTCTCAAATAACTTCATTATCATCTAGGAACAACTTATTAACAGTAAACAAATTATGCTTCCTGATAATTCCTGAACTCACAATTTTGTCTACTGTAGCGGAACATGTTATCAGGCCATCCTGATTAATCTTCAATAAAAATGGGGAACCAAGCTTTCAAGCTGCTATTACCTTTCAAAGCGAGAAAAGTCCTTCATTAAACTAAATGGCCCTCTGATGAAATGATGCATCCTGTTTCACGGAGGGAAAAACCTTTTAGTGGAAGCTCTTCAAGGTTATTTATCTGATGGCCATCAATATCTCTAAATAACACCTAAATAATGCTAAATAGCAGTGTAGGAGGAACAGAATGTCAAATATAAAGTCTTTCATTTTAAGATCAGTTTGTACTGAGGTGAAGTTGTTGGTTTGAAAAAGAAAAGCACTTCCTGATTTTGAATGGGAAAGATAAGATTAAAAGAATAATTTCTTTATTTCACAGTTTTCTCTTCTTTCATTTCATACAAAAAGGACACGTTTTCGCTGAATACAAAATATCCTTTCACTTCTTTTTGGCAGCAGATTTTCTCTGATTGAACTGAGCTGCTCTTCTAAAGTGCTGCCAGACTGTCTGAAGAAGCTCTTTAAATGTTCCCAGGAGACTTCACTAAGCTCTGTGTGTTATTTATAGATAAATATCATACTGCTGTAACCATCGTGACACCAGTCCTGTGTAGGAAGGAGGACGAGGGATGAAGGGGGCGGAAGGAGGGTGGCAGCGATTGTGTAGACACATTTATTTGACACTGAAAATTAATTAAATCTGCATGTAGATGCTCGAAGTGTACTGGATGTGGTAGGAGTTTAAATGCTACCAAGGTAGTTTAGAAAATGTATATGAAATGAAAAACGATGGGAGAAAATGCATTCATATTAACAAGCATCCATTTTTCTCTTTCAACTTGCTCACACATTTTTCATTGACCTGTCAGACTAAAGGGTGTAAATGAGACTCCTATCCCCTGAGGGCCACTGTAATTCATGAGCTGCAATGATCGGGTCATTTTTTTCAATAAAAACTGAGTGGTTTATTATTAGAGATCAAATATGTATGTAGCAGGCAGCAGTAGAAATATTGGCACCTTTGTAGTCAGCAATGGAAGAACATGCCAACCGCATACAAACCATATGGCAGGATTTTCCAATAAAAACAGGCAAAATGCCAAAAAGACTTAAGATTATGTGAGTCTGAGCCCTCCTCAAAGAGAACAGTAATGCATTTGACTAAAGGAGACAACAAAAGGAAGCTACTTGAAAACACCAAGTTAGTAAGGACATGAATGTTGACATAACAAGCGGTTCCTTAAGCTTGGAAAACGGTACCGAACAAAATGAACTGGGAGGAAACTGCAGTCAGACTCTTCTTCATGTGCTAGTTTATGATGTTTGGGTAGAGATATGGGAACTGGTTTCGCAATATATTTGAAGCAGGATGTCAGGATAACAACACACTGCTCTGCGTCCCAGCTCCTTGTGAGTCCTGACTCTCTTCTGACAGAGCTGACTGTCTGGATTGTTGCAGATAAAAAACAGAAATGCAACTACAGGGATAGGGCAAATGTACACAAACTTATTCAAAATATTTTACATTTGAAAGAGCTGAATTGCTAACACTGCTACAAAGGTGGGTCATGTTAAATTAGATGTCAGTTACTGTACCAATCTTAACTCTTAATCCACTAAAAACAGTACTGTAAGTCAATCCTATGCCTGGGGGTTAGCTAGTTAAGTGTTCACCTTGACATAAAGGTTTTTTGACTATTACATTTGCATTGTTGGCACAAATAGTTTAGACTTTTTAAAGCTCTATAAGTTATCTCAGGTTGCTTTGTAAGCTTAAATTTTATCCAAAAGGGTATGTTGTAGTATAGAACAGTACAGTCCATCAGCACTATAAACTACAGCCTCAGAAATTATCATAAAGTTGACTCATCTAATGCCTGGAAACACTGGCAAATCGCTGTGCTGTTAAGGCTATACGAATTGCTGTCTTGTTAATTGGGAGTCTTAAAGCCGTTGTCGTGTTCACACTACGTGACTGATTGGCGACAGGGGGTCACACACTGCACAAGCTGACGATGACTCAGGTTTCCAAACCACATTTTGTCAAGAAAAGGAGCACACAGACACAGGGCGAACAGGCTGGGGTCTTGTTACTGTGAGGCCACAGTGTCCACAGGGCTGCCATGCCACCCCATGTGGGAGGTCTGTGCTCCATAGAGTTTGAGGTGAGTAAAAAATGTTTTGTAATGAAAAAGTAGCTGCTTGCACTGTCTGCCGCATTCTGTCATTGGCTGGATATGGATGTGGAGTCGCAGACAGCTCCAGATATTTAGCATACTAGATAAAATCGTATCAGTGTGAACTAGGCTTAAATCTAAAACAGGTTTATCCACGACTACATTACACTGCACTTCTTTTAGCTGTAGGTGTACATAACAAACTGGCAGCTGAGCATACCTGTTCACATAAAACTAAGACTATAGGCCACTTGAGGAAAGTGAGAAAATATGTTAAACCGACACTTAAAAATAACACAGCTCAGCACCTGATGTACTGTGTCTCTGGTAAGATACATAAGGAAATGATGTGACCTCATTCTGCTGAGAAAAAGACAGACAGCGAGAGGACGACAGGAGACGATGAGTAACAGTGTTTTTATCCACACTGGTTGCTTTCCATCTGTTCCAAGACCGGCTGGCACCTCCAGGAGGTTTGACACAAACACAGACAAACACACACACATAATTTTGCATCACTGGTGTTTGCAAAGCTTGGCGGTATTTGTATGTTGTGTTTTTACCTTGTCTTTATATTCATGTTACAGGCTCACATTCATTTGCTTATGTAAATGTACGTGACAGTGTTTCAGTGGTTGCCAAAACCCAAGCAGGAGTACCGAAGAGAAACAGATTACTGTACAGAATCTGCAGT